GGCATGGCTGTGTGGCAGCATTTAAAGTGTTTTTGTGATTCTTTTTCGGGAATATCTGTATACATTATGTAAAGAAAGTATAAAGCACTGCTGAAAGTTGACCATTCTGACCCATCTCCTCTGTCTTGTATTTTTAACCATTGTTCAGACTAGGGTTGATACATATTCTGTTGTATCAGCTGTCGTCAGACATACCAGCACTCTCTATCAGCCTGTATCATCTTTTTGAAGTACTTTTCATGAACGTCACTGGCAGAGTCCGTCCTAAACCTCCTGTCTTTTGTAAATGTTACACTTGCTTTTTTAGGCCTGGATATGTTTCACTGTGAAACAATAGACAAATATGGCTTCGTGTTCCAAGTTTGTTCTTGCTCTTCGAAGCAGCAGGATTGGTCATTTTTTAGCAATGAAGTCCCAGACAGGGAAATCTTAATCAACATTCTTGGCATAATAGGAAAGCTTTGGCTCAAAGGATGTTTTGTTTGATTTTTCATTATTTTTTTTTTTCTTTTCATTGCACTCTCAAAGGGAAGTAAGAAATTCCAGCGGCTTTTTTGGCACGTTCCTGCTGGCTGTCAGTTAAGCTCCGTGTTTGCCTAGATGTGACACTGATGCCATATATTTCAATGCTATGAGTGAGTTTAAATGTGGAATCAGAGGCCATGCATGAAGAAGTGCTCCCAGTAGGGTGGTCTCTCTCCAAAGCAGGGAGGTTTGGGACTGAGCCAATCAGGTGACGAGATGGGCCGGCTTCCAGAAACACAGCCAAAACAATAGGAAAATATAGTGTGATTCTTTTGTGTCAGGAATAAATAATGTGAGTGCAGCATTTGAAGTGATTTAGCCTCTCAGCCTTCACTTTTCACACCTGTGCTAGTGGCTTACTCTGCATTTATTCTGGGCTTCTTTAAGTCCCCAAAGGTTAGAGGTCAACGATTTGGGTGGAAACATAAATTAGGAGCAGGAGGGGAGGAATCACTTTGACAGGGACATTTTTGGATATTTAAGTGCTGTTGTTCAAGTGAAGGTCAAGGTTTTTCTGGCATCATGCGATTCTTTCAGATCTTTAGAGGGTTCAACCTAGTCAGCATTTTTTCAACCTTATGACTTTTGTAACCTTTGTGACTTACTCTTGTGGACACAAAATTGTGGGGTTCAATATTGTTATTCCTTAAAGGGTTCGTTCATCCAATCCAATGATCCAATAATTTACTCACCCTCAAGTCATCCTAGGTATTTATGACTTTGTTTTTTTCAGCCAAACACAATCTGAGTTATATTACAAATACCCTGGCCTTTCCAAGATTTATAATGTGAATGAATGGTACCTTTGATTTTTAAGCCCAAAAAAGTGCATTCGTCCATCCATCATAAAAGTAATCCATACGGCTCCAGGGTTTTACTAAAGCCTTCTGAAGCATAGTGATAAATCCATAGTAGTCCATATTTATGACTTTGTAAACTACAATCTCGAGTAGTTTATAACTACAAGTCGAGTTCCGGCGGAAGAGTGACTTCTGACCCAACCTATCCGACGTTTTTGGGCTAGGGTACCATTCAATCGCATTATAAAACTTGGAAAAGCCAGGATATTTTGTATTATAACTCCGATTGTGTTCAGCTGAAAGAAGAAAGTCACATACACCTGGGATGGCATGAGTAAATTATGGAATAATTTTCATTATTGGATGATATGATATTGCCTTTACGTTCTTACTGATTTAGCAAAGCATACAGTGAGCCTAAATGTAAGCCACATTCATGGATTTATTTAAAGATATAGCCTAACAAAAATGTTATATATACAAAGTGTTATTTATGTTAAAGCTACACTGTGTAACTCTTTTAGTTTATTCTTAGCTAAAAACACTTAGTTCTTTCAAAAACATATGTGCTCATTAATGTATATTCAATATACGTTCAAGTAATAAAGTATTCTCATGAGTGTATAATATGCCATTGAAAAATGTTGCCCCTCAATCTTGAAAGTACATTAGCCAAAGAGGGACATACCCGTTAATTCGAGCTTCGCCTTTCGCGTTTACGCTTGAGTTAACACTCATGGACGAGGTCGAACTGGAAGCCATGTTAATCTTGGACTACATTGACCACCGTAGGAGTTAAAACGAAATTGGAATTGAGAGGAACAGAAACTAATATTCCCTGGATGGTCATATACCTTTTCACCGCTAGATGGGGGAAAAAATCACACAGTGTAGCTTTAAAGAGGAAATAGCTAAGCAAAAAAAAAAAAGATAAGCTTTTTTGAATATTATGATGATTTAAATATTCAGATGTTAAAGTAAAGAACTACACCTGTGGTTACTTTGATTGGACTCAAGAAATGTTTTTACATAAATTACAAAACTTGTTTGTAATTTTTTGAAGTTTCATGATGCATCCAAAAATACCTTTTGAGACCATTGTGCATGGCACATGGCTTTTTTTTTTTGTATTCACAATGAGATGATCTTTCCTGAAGGGCTTGGAAATAACTCTTGTTGAATTTTTCTGTTTGTTGCTTTCTATTGTTGCCTATAAAATTCTGAAAACACAGAGCTGCTTATAATCAGACATCCTCTATCTCATATATGCTGTGTTCAGTCAAGCACTGTCAAGTCAAGTGCACATAATGTTTGCTCATCAAAATATAATTTTTCTCTCCTGTTACCTAAAGTTTTCCTCCAAATCATCTACCATAGCGAACACTGATCGCATTCCTGTCTCCCCTCCCATTTCTGCCCCGTTGAAAAGGACTGGCGCTAGTACTACAAGTTTGTCCTCATATTCCCCTGGCTAATACATTGGAATTTCTTGGCCCATACCACATAGTTTCTAACTTCAGTAGAATAAAGATCTTGTTGTTTTATTTTGGATCTCATTTACAGATGAATATTTACAGATACAATTCAGCCTGCGTTCTTATTGGTCAGTAGGGGAAACTTGTTCCAAAATAACTAACACAGCCAAAAGTTTGTTGAAAAATCTACAGACTAACAGTCTGATCTGAGGGTTGATTTGTTACTGTGCTAGTTTATCAGTTAGATATAGATTTAAATTGAACACCCAGAACAAACTTATCCTAGCATTGTTGGTAGAAGTTATGCTAACTGTTTAAGTAACTGAACTAAAAAAAAACAGTATGACCACTCTTAAAGCAACAATTAGATTAGGTTTACTAACCTGTAAAACAAGTCTAAGCAGTTTATGCAACTTGTCCATGTTGCCATCTCTCTACAGCTTTGTTTCCATCCACCCATTTTTAAGCAAGTTTTGGGATTTCGTAAAAAACTGGATGCAAACAAATATTTGCATACATTTTAAAAATATGCATATTTCCCTTGATGTGGAACAAAAACACTTTGCCTCAACAGTGGATGTGATTGGATAACTGGACTAACCAATGGACAAATTTCATTGCACAGCATCTCAATTGTTGATTTGCTCAATCTGGAATCCCTGAGCCAAAGTCTATCATTGAAATGTTTTAGTATAATGAACTCCCAGAAGCGTCTCACACGGAAATACCAGGCATCCGAACGCAAGATAACATGACATCGTTTATTATTGCGTTTTGTCTCTGAAACGCAAGTCGTTTATGATGTAGGATAAAAACCGAGTCACAAATACACAATGGCTTTCTCCGATTCCATTTTATTACAAATGTTTTGCACCAATTACCCAGGAAGTTGGAAACCCTGCTTTATTCTGAAATGTTTTATGTTCCAATTTTGTGCACAAGTTAAATTCGTAAATTTGGATGGAAACCGCTTTTGACTATAGCTTATACTAAGTGACCAATGAATTTGCCACAAGTTTGATTAGATGCACCTCGATGTCAACAGTGATATATTTGGGAAGCAATTTTTTTATCTACCATTTAAAATGCATAAGCTTATATTGCACTTCAATTTTGTTCATGTTGTTCTCGGTCCATCAGAACACTTTTATTAAAGGGTTATCCTCATGCTCTTCCAACCCCGTAAGACCTTCGTTCATCTTCGGAACACAAATTAAGGTATTTTTGATGAAATCTGAGAGCTGGATCACTCCTCCATACTAGGCAATAGGCTTCTTGAGGAAATGAAAATTGCCGGCCTAGAAAAGTTATTAAAGACACCGTTAAAATAGTCCAAGTGACTACAGTGGCTCAATCTTAAGTTTATCAAACGATGAGAACAGTTTTTGTGCGCAAAAATAAACAAAAATAACGACTTTAACTTCAAGTATTCATTTACTTCTCTCTCTGCCTCGAGTCAGGTTACTAGTTTGTAACAGCGTATGATCTGTTGTTGTACGTCACACGCATCACACACATGACCAGCGTCGGCCAATAGCGAGCCTACGTGTGACGTAGCTCTACGCTATCACGCTACGTTAACTGACTAGATGCCCATAGAGAAGGAAGTGAATAGTTGAAATAAAGTCGTTATTTTTGTTGGTTTTTGCGCACAAAAAGTATTCTCGTCGCTTGATAAACTTTAATGTCTTTAATAACTTTTCGAGACCGGCAAGTTTTAATTCCTCAAGAAGCTCTCTATGGACTAGTATGGAGGAGTGATCCAGCTCTCAGATTTCATCAAAAATATCGTACTTACGGGTTGGAAAAACATGAGGGGGAGTAAATACTAACAGAATTTTCATTTTTGGGTGAACTAATTCTTTAATTCAACTTTTTTACTCTATGTTTATCCACCTTTTTTGCAATGTGGAAGTGAGCTCTTTTCTGTGAATGTCCCAGACTTTCAATTCATCAGCTGATATCGGGAAATAACTTGAAGAATAACAAAGTGCAGTAAACGATGAAGCTATTTGCTCTACAAAACAGTCTGCTTTCATTAATTAAAATAGTATGATAGCAAAGAACAGTTTTGAATATCAAGCAGCACAACAGACAGCTAAAATAAGTGGAAGCAAATGGCCGTTAAAAATAAGGTTGATAGTTTATCAACTAATTGAGCCGAGTCATTTCTTTCTCCATCTCTTCATTTCACACACAGATAAAGAAATATTTTGAGCTGGAACCTCTGGCACGAGGCAAGAGCTGGATTCTTGAGGGAAGCACGGTGGACAACATGGACGTGGTAAAGGAGAGCTTTGGTCAGCTCATTCATCTGCTGGAGGAGAAGGACCAGGACGCAGGCAGGATATGACCCAGGGACGACATCCCAGCATCCCACAGACACTACCCATCGCCAACTCACCACAGGCCAGCACATCTCCAGTCACCAGTGGCACGTTGTGTAAACTACGTAGTTACTTTAAGTTACTGTGGTGAAACTAATTGAGCCATGGAAAAATGGACTTTGGTAAATCCTCACGTAAGGATGCATATCTGCAGAAAAAGAAGGTATTTCAGCCCTGAAGTTCGATACCTTCTCTCAAACCCACACGTATTAACCCAGAACACACGATTACCATTGTCAGTAAAATGGTTATATCAGTTCTTTTTAATACAGACCTAGTTGCACATTGCTCCTAAATAGATGATTTAATCACATGCTTGGTCACGTAGGGCAACTGGAAGTCGTGTAGTCCGTAGTTTGTTTTCTTGAGTGAATGCGTGAGTGAGAGTTGCCAGTTTGTACTTAAAAGCCTTAATGTGAGCGATAATGTATTTTTAAAACAAACGTTTCAGTGTGTTCTCTCACAAATGACAGTCTTTAGATGTAATTCAACTTTGCCGTCTTAAATATTTGTGGCTGTGAAGTGAAAAGTGGAGTTATGAGTGATTCCTGAGTCTTAGAAAAATATAATAAAATCTTCTCCTGTCATGTAATATCTCTAAACAGCATGGAGCCGCACTCGATTGGAGATTTAGATAAACGCACATTTTTGAGTTAAGATCATTGAGGACACAAAGGTGTTTTTATATCTTGGTCTAGTGTTATTTCAAAGCTGAACATATCCAGGGTTTTGCTCATCTATCTCTTTATCTTGGATGGTAATGGTTGACAAAGCCCTACTGAAAAATATAACACCGGTTTGACTTTTCACCACAGACACTGAAATCGCAATCAGTCCCTGTAGGTGAACAATGACAGAGCCTTCGATTTTGAACGCATGATGTATTGACCATGTGCTTGTTTGGATATCGCATTATTTGTTTGTGAATCTTTTTGTATTTCTGTTGGCCCTGAATGTAAAACACTCTCTTTGCATAAGCACGCCTCCTCTAGTCTCGAAGTTCCCAGACACGTGAACAGAGGAAACTAACGCAAGAGCCACCAAACCAGTCATGTGCCACATCAGCCACACTTCCAAAAGCAGGTATCCTTTGAAAAACACCTCGAATGCATAGTCATCGTCAAACTCGGCCATCACCTTGTGTTTTATTTATATTTACTACAATTTTATACCCTCCAAACCAGTTCAGCTGCCTTTTTGTAATATATTCAAATATTTGTACATTTGTTACAGATTAGTCTCTGGAAAGGACATCTTTGTACTGGAAAGAAAGAAAGAAAAAAAAAAAGTCTAGGTGGGCTTTTAGCAGTTTACCAAGGTGGCATCAAGTCATTCACATGTTTGACAGTGTTTATGTGTATTTATGCATCATTTCCACTGAGCAACATGGAAAATAAAGGCAGAAGAAGGACAAATGTGTTGTCTTTCGTCATTTGCTTGTAGGATGGTATCGTGTTTCACTTTTTGGTCTTGTGAATAATGGACGGGAACATTAGACTTACTGACCATGACACTGTAATTGGGGTCTTCAGGAGCTTTCTCTATGTGATATCATTTCCTATCTTATGGTGTTTTGTGAAAAAAAAAATAATAATAATAATAATAACAGTGATAATGGCAAAATAGGGAATAGGGTTTTGTTTTCAAGAATTTCATTCATTCAAAGGGGCTTTTTGCTTTGTGATACCAATCAAGATACCATCCTGATATGTTTGCCCCCCAAAATTATTAAACTAATTTTAATTCACAAATTCATAACATTTCCAATTATTGTGTCATTGACCCATTTAACAGCAATTAAAGCAATTATTTTCCCTAGTTTTAGTCATCTGGAAGGCTTTGAGCTGTCTTCTTACTAAAGCGTAAGGAACGCCGGCATCTCTATGGCTCATCTGCTCAGTAGTGATTAGTCATAGTGTTTCCCTGTCTATGGATTAGTCATCTACAGTGATTCCCAGCTGTCCTCATAACCCACAAAACTACTAGATGGAGGCTGTTGCTTTTCATTGGCTTGTGGGGATTTCCAATAAACCAGACTCAAAACGAGATCTAGAGCTAAATTGACAGACGACACATTTATAGATTCTGGGAATGTAAAAACAAAACTGAGTGGGAACAAAAACGTAAGGCTGCAAAGAAAACTGAGAGAACACCACGGTTGAAAAAAATCTCTGTTTGTAGTCAATATATCAAACCCGATGCGTAGACAAGGTATGATGCGGTTTTTAGTGATAACACTACTCTTACAATACAGTTTTGTTAATAACCCTTTGTCGATCAGACTTTCCGTGTGCAGGGATACAAAAACGTGGAAGTACAATCTGTCGTTTTAATGAAAGCCCTGGAGCTTGGCCAAAAGACAGATGCCAAAAAACTATTGCTCACAAATAAATGTGAATTTCTCGGTCCAGGTAACAGAGAAAGAGTAGACATTCCTTTACATAAACTACTGATATTGAAGCAATACAAAACTTACAATCGGCGAACTTACAATTTAAAGGGATACTCCACTTTTTTTGGAAATGGCTCATTTTACCACTCCCCCAGAGTTAAACAGTTGGGTTTTACCGTTTTCGAATCCATTATTCAGCCAATTTTCTGATATTCTCTGGTCTCATTGACTTCCATTGTAGGAAAAAATATAATATGGAAGTCAATGAGACCAGAAACTGTCTGGTTACTGATATTCTTCTAAATATCAGAAAATTGGCTGAATAATGGATTCGAAAACGTTAAAACTCAAATGTTTAACTCTGGGGGAGTGGTAAAATGAGCCTATTTGCCAAAAAAATGGAGTATCCCTTTAAGTGAAAGATTGTTTTTTTTTTTTTTTTTAGGTGAGAGTGGGGTAAGATGCGTACGCCCCTTCATCTATCTAATTATGTTTACATTCAACGCATTCTCACCCCAAGGTGTCACCTTTGACCATGCTTCAATATTTGACGCGATTCTACAGCGTCATCTAACTGACGCTAAAGGAAAGCGTCAATTAGATGACGCGGTTAGGTTTAGGTCTGGGGTGGGGGTAGGGTTACATCTAACTGACGCTAAAGGGCGCCTTAAGCGTCAAATATTGAAGCATGGTCAAATGCTTCCCAAGGCATCAGTTAGGTGACGCCTTGGGGGTGAGAATGAGCTGTTAGATTAAATAAATTATATATACAATATATACGTAAAGTTATCATCATGTGCACCTGACTGTATTTGACATATGTAAATGAGAAAAATTAGTGGTGGTGTTGTTGTTTTTTATTTTTCATTCTAAAACGTATGCCAAAACTGAAAAGTAAAACTAATTTTATGAATGTTATGCTGTACCTTTGGCTCAACTTTGCCTCCAAATGCAGAAAGTGCTAATGGAACCATTATTTATATGAATATTTTTACAAAATTTTTAAAATTGTTTCGCTTGCTATATTCAAATATTGGCTGGTTTGTGTAAATATGAATTATGTGCAGTATTTATTAAGTTCATATTTTTAATTTCAAATGCAAATCGTTCAAATATTCTTTAGGGTAAGTGGGACCACAATCACTAGACCAGTGTTTATTCTACACTAAAACATTTTTTATTATATTTTATTTTATTTGAAAAAAAAAAGAGGAGGAAAACACAGTAGAAACATGTAAATTAGTTACCTGTAAGTTACCGTATATATATATGGTGATGGTTTAATGTAATTTAACTGTAAAATACTGTAAAATTTATGATTTTTTTGCAAGTAACTTGCACTGCATTACACATCACATATGATTAAAATTTGTACAATAATTTTGTTTCCTCTTATTTTTGTTATCGGTAATGCACAGTAGTGTTTTGTTATTTTGTTAATGTGACTTATTAATATTAAATAAAGAGGCTGCTGAGGTGGTTATCGGCACATATTAAGGTAAAAAGTCAGATTTTGTTTGTATATTGTTATATTAAATTTATATCACTTAATGAATTATACCGTTATAAGTTTTGCCGTGAATTTCTGGCAACCACAGCTGGCAGTTTAACGGGGATTTTACGTATGACTGCATATTAAAGAAACTTCTAACCCACAACTTCTAGCTGACAGCTGCAGACATCCTGAAATATAACTTCTTTTAGAGAGTTTGACCTCGGTCTCATTTCCACTTGACACCCAGTTCTTCTCCCTGTGAATCAGTTAATACTCTCTCAATACAACATTAAAATTGTCTGTGACTTTGCTTTCTGGGAGCAGACAGAATATTATTCCTCTGATTTTGAGAACTGACTGTTTAGAAAGAATGAAATAATAATGGTATTGTGTCTGGAGAAGAGACATTCTCTAAAATAACCTGAGACCGTTTGAAATTACTCACACTATATCCCAGTTGAATATTAGTATGCAGACATGAACACTTTATTAATCTTTAAACTTTAAGCATGTCTGAAGAACTTCACAAAGCTGTCTGCAAGACAAACTTTCAATATCTTCTTCCTTTCCCCCAGTGTCAGTCTGTCTGACAGCCTTACAGTGATCTTCTTAAAATCTTGTGAGAGTTTCAGAAAGTGTCTTTATCTTTTTTATATAGTTATTATTAGTTTCCTCTGCAGCTCTTAAAATTATATTTCAAACCTGTAAGACGTTTCGTTAATCTGCGGAACATAAAATAAGATATTCTGAGGAATATTTCAACCTTTTTTGTCCATTTACTCACCCTCATGTCAATGAAAGTCAATGGGGTCCAAAACATCCGCATTGGACCCCATCCTGCACTTTGACATGAGGGTGAACAAATGATAACAGAATTACAATTTTTGGTTGCATATCCCTTTGAGGCAAACACCCCAGGTAGAAAGGGTAAAACATTTTTAATATATTATTTAGCAATATATTTATAAACATTTCAGCAATATATATATACACATATACACACACACACACAGTATATATTGCTGACAATTCTGGAATTTCAGTCAATATACAGGCTATTACTTTAAAGATGGATGGATGAGCTTTTTTGGGCTTCAAAATATATTGACTGAAATTCCAGAATTGAGGTGTCTTCAATGTTGCCAATATAAAATAAATAGTTCTTAATTAATCTTTGACGTCTGTCTGTCTGATATTTTTGTTAAATTTTTGGGTGTAAACTTTTAAGGAATAATTTGATTAATTATTACTCAATTCTAATTTGTTAAATTTAATTAATAATATTGCTTGTAATCTGTTACCACAACTCTATTGATTAGATAAAGCATATTCATTTTTACAGTGCAGGTGCAAATAAAGTGCAATAAAATAAACACAAAGTGTGTATTTCGGAGGTTTCTTTCAACTAGTCTGAAACGTCAAATTGTGAAAAGCCATGCAGCCCAAAATCTCAAAATTGCCTGAAATTGTTTTTGCCTAATCGGCCACAATGAAACTTAAGAATCCCAGGATTGCCAATGGAAATGTAGTTAATTAGGCCATATTTACGCAACGACCCGTTTGCAGTGCTATTTTCCTTCATGCAGAGGAGAAATGGGCATTTCCTACAGCCGCCGTACCTCCACAAGGATGTTCCCATGAGTGATTATAATGAGTTAGGCCTGTGACTGGAGTTGCCTCCATTAGTGAATGTAGTGCACATGCCTTTTCTGTATTGTATTGCGACACAAAGTTCAAATGTAAGGACAAAATGTACATTCTCCTCTTTTCAAAACTGGAACATCAAAACCGGCCCGTCTAGGGTAACGAGGCGTGCATGCTCATTTAGGAAACTTTCTCCATTAGCGAGTGAGAAAAACTCTTAGTAATGTTAGAACACAATGATAGTCTCTTATAGCGGCTGTCTGTGATCTTGTTTCAAAGCCTCATTCCAGGCTTTAATTGCTGATTGTTTTTAACGGCAGATTCGGTTCCCTCGGATTCGAATGCGATCCGCTGTCGGCTCATTGAAGTGCTTTGAGGAAGCGTACGCTTATTTTGATGGCTCCGCACATTCCTTTTCCTAGTTCAAATTAAAACCAAATTTATATGACTGCTCATGGAGAACATTTCTGAAATGGCAGAAACAGTCAACAGCACATTAATAAGCGTGAATTTTCCATACAGGGCCATCAGTCACTGACTATGCAGGGCTCTCTGGTTTTAATAATGCGCCATAAACACTTAAGACAACATACTGAGTGTATACACCAATATTAAGGTCTGTATGCGTGCATGAGCTGCAACAGAAACACTCTGGTTTGCCCTTAGTCAGAAGTGGACATAGACGGGCAGAAGAGACTGTTTTGACTGCTGTCCAGAGCAGCAGAACTATTCGATTACACCCTCAAGTACATTTCTCATGCTATTTCCAGGCATCAGTCGTACACAGATTGAGCTAAACCTCAGATGACCAGTGGCTGTCTCGCAGACATCGACTGGCTCGCACGTTTGTATTGAACTTCAATGAGAGACCCAGCGGGGATCCGGTAGACTGGTTGCCAGAGAGACCCCAATGAACCATCAGGAAATGACCCACAGAGCTCGGGTCTCTCCAGAAGTTTTGTTTGTGTCACACAACACTTTTTTTTAGCATTGTCCTTTTTTTGTACCGATTTATACCTAGAGAGAACAAGGATGTCTTTGCATGAACTTTGCAGAAATTCATAGACTGTTTGTATTTTCCAGTATTATTTTTTTTAACACTTTCTAAGGTTTTATTTGTGAACTAACAACAGAGCCGGATAGTAACGGAGTACATTTACTTGAGGACAGTACTTAAGTAAAATTTTGAGGGATCTGTACTTTACTCATGTACTCATGACTTTACTCGAGTACATTTGAGAGGGAAATATTGTATAAATACATTTCTATCCATAACCGTGAGCGCACGTTATTACTTCTAAAGTCATCAGTGCGTTCAGTTCGGTTATAAACACAGTCACTGACCGAGCGCCGCAAACAAACAGCAGCCACTTTTTACAGTTCCTTGTAATTGTAATTGTTGTAATTGTAAGTACAAGAGGGCCACCCGTGAGATTTTACCCAGAGCTGTTCACGTCCTCAGACTCGGATGTATTCCTTGTCAACACTGGCTAAATGAACCAACAGCAGTCAGGTGTTACAAGTAATAGCTCTGTAAGTTGTTTGTGTTCATTTTTATTGTAATGTTATGTGCTTTTTGAGACATCTCTTGTGAAGCTTTGCTGAATCTGCGTTCATTGTTTTGAAGGAAGTGTGGCTTGCTTTGGAGATGCTCTGAAGGGAGGGTGGGATCTCATGCTCTCAAAGCTAGCTCGCTATTGCTAGCCCCTCCGAAATTACCTATACCTTTAATTTTAAAAACTCACCAATGCTTCATTTAGAGTCGAACGTCACTGAAAATATGTGAGTCAGGTGTCGGTTAATTTACTCTGACTGATTCAGTGAGTTCATTCAATGAATGATTCATAAAAAATGATCTAAACCAGTATCGCCTGCTTGTAAAGCCCCTTTCACACAGAGATTCCGGAAAATACACGGATAATGTGACCCGGCAGTTGATTGTTTGATTTCAGTTCATTCACACTGCCAGTGATTTGCCGGGATCTGTGAGTGCGTTTACACTCAACCCGTAAAGATCCCCGAAAGACACATGATGTCAGGATGAGACGTGTAACAGATGCATGTACTTGCGCATATCGTTTCACAAAACTGGTGAACGATCTCAGCTGTGTTGTCAGCGCGGATAGTGGTCCGGTTCTGTACCGTTCCAGTTTGCAGACATTTGTTCGTCCTTTCTTTGTTGATGATGAACACAAACTTTCTTCTAAGAGCAACAGAGTCGCGTGATGGCACGAGCGTCATCACTATGACACACCCCTTACGGCATTTGGTCCTGGCTTTTGATCACACAGCGCGCGTTCTGGGACTGATTCCGGGAATGTTACTACTAGGTCCCCAACCTGGCATAGATGCCGGTATCAATCCCGGGTCGTGTTTGCGTCTACACAGAAGAAGTTCTGGCAATTTTCCAGCAATTTCCAAGCTGATCATTTTGCGGTAAATAATGTTTTTTTTTTTGTCCTCACATTCAATTCAGTGTACAAAGTTACATACACATTCACAACTTGGGTACGATGCGTTTTCTTTTTCTGACAAAAGCTTGATTATGTGCATGAAACCCATTCCAGATCCAAATAATTTTTTATTGTTGTATAGGCTTTTATAAAAAAAAAAAAAATTCTTTTTGGAGCTGACAGCCAGAATTAAATTCTGTTGAAGAGTTGCATAACAATAGCCTGGTTAAAACCAGACCATTCTCAGTTGTAACTGAGTTATGGTCTGGCAAAGCTTCATAGACAAATCATTTCCAAAGGGGCGTCACCAATAGACGTAGCTCAAATGCCTCTAGGGGAATTGGATAGACCTAAAACTAGTCAGAGCAATGAAGTAGATGACGTATGCAGAGCGACGTTCGTCTGTTGTAGAACAACTTGAAAAAACGACCAGACACTGGATAACAACTTGCTCTATGTTTAGCCTATTTAAAATTAGCAGTAAGACAACTAGAAGTGAATATGCTTTCCACACTGTAAAAAAAAAATATTTTCAAGATTTGTTCGCAACATTTTTTCTTTTGTCAAATCAACTTAAATAATTTATTTAGGTCCGATAAGTTTCTGATGATTAAATTAATCTCCTTCAACTCACTTTTTCCAGTTCAGTCAACTTAAAATTTGAAGGCAGCCAGGTTACTTAATGTCTTAAGTTAAACCAACAATATTTTTATAGTGATTCAATAAATCACACACAGGAAACAAAACCTTAACTAAAGCTTTGCAATGAACTTTGTTGTCGTCATCCCTAAAGTTTCTGATTGGTGGCGCAATTTCGACGGATTAGAAATGGGCTTGAAAGAGCTCTTTGCCAAGCTAACTTGCAGAGCAAATCTAAATTAGCAGGAAGTTGTCTTTATTTTCCCAGGCTAGCATAACAATTCACTTTGGAACACATTAGGATGGATCTTACACGTTTTTTAAGGAGGGTTTTTTTTTTAACTGGACAAAAATCCTTTATAGGAAGGGATTTCCTTCCATATGATCTAATATTCCACAAAATAACTCCTTACTTATAGTATTGTCAAGGGATTTCAACTCTATCAGCATGACAATGGGAAAAAGTCTCTCCTCTCTCATGTAATGTCAGCTGTTTCTTAACATCGTTATAGTGGCAGCCTGCTATTTTTCCAAAACAGGCTTGAGACAGTGACTCCGTGTTCACTCCTGATTACCATCTTCCTTGTTGCAGTCATTTCAGATATGATTACTCTTCGCTGTCTCTGCACTATCACAGATGCTGCTCAGCAGGTATCAGCGGGACCGGGCGCCCGTATTCCCCCTACCCACTGCTGATTCAGCTGTCCCGCGAGAGAAGAGAGATCATCCCGGCCAGCACAGACAGACCTCACCTTACTGAACACTTCAATGAAGCCAAAGTAAATTACCAGTAAGGCTGTTTGTGAATAGCTTCATTTAGTTAACCCCAAAATAAATATTATCCTGTAATTTGCTCGCCCTCAAGCCATATGACGTCATAAATTGTGTTCAGCTGAAATAATTAAGTAATATCCTGGCTCTTCCTAGCTTTTTAATGGGAGTGAATTAGTGTCTTGAGTTTTTAAGCTCAAAGCACATCCATCCATAATAAAAGTAATCCATACGGCTCCAGGAGGTTAAAGGTTTTCTTCGTTTTTGTGAGACAAATATCCAAATTTAAAACTTATAAACTATGAACACTAGCTTCTGGAAACGTCAGTCAAGTTCTGGTCGAAGAGTGACCTCTGACCCGACTTATAAAGGACCTCCTCTTCTTTTATATGGAAATCCTTTGATATTTTTTTTTAACTTCTTTGTTTAGACTTATAATTCGTGAGTCATTACGCTTCCTTTTTTGTCAATTCTCACCTAAGCTTACGCTACATCCCACGTCATACGTCGAGTCAGAGGTCAGAACTCGACTCTCTTGTGACCACGCGTACGGCCGTTTCCGGAGGCCATTGATTATAGTTTTTCTAAAGTTTTAAATAAGGATATTTTATCTTACAAAAACGCATCGCTTCGCTACAGAAGGCCTTTATTATTACCCCCTGGAGCTGTATGCATTACTCTTATGATGGATGGATGCACTTTTTTGGCTTCAAAATCTAAGGTACCATTCATTCCCATTATAAATTTTTGAAGAGCCTATTTAAAAAAAAAAAAATATATATATATATATATATATATACATATATTTTGGGTAGGGCTGTCAAACGATTAATCGCATCCAAAATAAAAGTTTGTGTTTACATAATATTTGTGGGTCCACTGTGTATAATTATTTTGTATACATATAAATACACACACATGCATGCATTTTTAAGAAAAATATATTATTTATCTATAAAATATTTAAATTTATATATAATATAAATTATATATAAATCTATATAAAGTATATACATGAAAACATTTCTTAAATATATACAAGCATGTGTGTGTATTTACATATATACAATAATTATACACAGTGCACCCACATATATTATGTAAACACAAACTTTTATTTTGGATGCGATTAATCGCGATCAATTGTTTGACAGCCCTAATTTTGGTTGAACTAATCCTTTAAAGCCCATTCACACCAAGAAGACTAATTATAATGATAATATTAGGGTCGACAGTATCCTAAAATGTCATCTGCCAGTTTAAATGCTCGTGCTCTTAAAGCAGCTGTATTATGATTGGCTGTTGTCCATCAGCTGGAAAAATCGCTTTGAAATTGAGTTATGCATTGTTGTTAGATTGTGGTGTAAACTGCTATTCTTGTGTAGAAATGTACAGAAAAACTACAGTATATCTTTATTGTTAACTATATGATGTCGTCCTTGGTGTGAACTGTTCTTTACAGTCTAGAAAGAAATGTTGATATACAAAGGTGTCTGTATAGTTTTCCCACACTGTCTGAAAAACCTCTCTGTGGGCTGGAATTAACGATAAGCGTATAATGAAGCCTTGCAAAGCAAAGAGGTGGTGACGCTCTCCTTTACAATTAGCCGTCTGTGAAACTTCCTGGCAAATTAGTTTCTCCACTGCAGCTCAGACAGTTCCGGTGGCTTCTGCAGAACTTGATTGGGGGGTGTGTGTGTGTTCAGATCAATCTGTTTGTGACTTGCATGGAATAACAAATTCCCACTTTAAGGATTCAAGCTCAGGGCCAATTACGTTCTGAAAGAATTTACAAAATCCCAACATTGGATTTAAAATGACAAGATTTACACTTCACACATTTAGGAACAACACTCTCAGTAACTGAAGTAGATTTTTCAGATTTTACTCTTTATACTGCATCTTTACAAATGGCATCATTCACTTTATATACATTACACATTTACAAACAAATACAAAACTATAAATGTATAGCTGGATCTCTAAAATAAAAAAGACAATATATGGCAAGAATTCAATGCTAGATCGATGCTGTTAATTATATACATTATATGATAAACGATTCCTTTGTCTGAGAACCCACATAAAAACAAGAAAACCTATAGGCAGAAAATAACATCAAGGATATATTTAGATTTTATAAAACACAATGCATTGATTCCAACATTATTTCTGTCAAATAAAACCACTGTTTTTGGTGTATGTGTCAAAATCATACACAGACTTTACTGAAAAGGCTGCTTTTGATTGTAAACCGAAGCAGATCTATGCTTAATACATTATTAGAATTGCAAATAAATAAAACATGCAAGTTTTGCGGCAGATTTGGGAGGATGACAAAAACTGTTTTCTTTTCTTCACAAATTGTATACACTTTTCATAACACATACAGAGTTACATTGCACATTATAATAAATAATATTCTTCCAAAGACGACAAAGAAAAGACGGTAGACAGTTCATTTATTCGGACTATAAATGTATAAATAAGAAGACAAAAATGTATAAATAAACATCTAGAACAATAAGCATCTTCCACATGTCTGCGGAAAATAAATAAGAGTACATGTATGTACAATATGAACATGACTCTGCGCTTAAATGGAGTCCTGCTGTTGAATGCGATTTATCCAGTCTGTAACAGAGACACATGGCTATAATCCGCGTAATCTTCATCCTCCTCCTCTTCATCCGTCTCTTCTGAGAGCGCTGCTGAGGAATATAGCAACTGTTGCATTAATATAAAACACAACAGCATTCAGGCACAGAGTCTTACTGCATGACGACGACTTGCATCTTTTTCCCAAAGCATCTCTAACAATGCTTTGCGAGATCACAGCTGAGGGTTGAAGGAGAGCCTGGGATTGAATTTCTCTGTGGAATGGGGCCTTACCTCTGTCTTTTATTAGCGGAGACAATTTCTTGTATTTGTCAAGTCATTGTACAGAATCGAATCAAATCAAGCAAAGAGATATTATGTGATCCCTTCCCATAAACAAAAATATTGCTTTCGTGGAAGATGACGAATACCACACACAGACTCAGGCTGGTTAAAGATGGTTCTACTTTAAGGCATTAACAAATGAACCATCTGAACATGTTCATACAAAACAAAAAAATCACATTTTTCCCACATGAGATTTGTTATGTCCCACATTTGAACCATTATAAGATTCGAAAAAAGAAGTGACATTGTATAGAAACATTTTACGTGAGGAAGGTATGTTCACACCAAGAACGATAACTATATTAGCGTCCACAGCGGACGATATCGTTTCGTTGATTGTAAGTGCTCGCTTGTCTGTCACTTTAAATGCTTGAGATTGTTACAGGACGGATTCTGATTGGCTGTCAGTGGCTGGATAAAATCGCTCTGAAAGTGATTCCAATGACCTTTACGTAAATAATTTAAATATACTGAACAATATATTACATTACATTGAATAATACATATGGAAGTGCTGCTTTTCATATATTGAGAAATATGCGACAATATATTTACGAGAGTTACTTTCACTCAATTGAGTTATGTTTCTGCTACACAAAGTTGAATTTACGAGGAAAGTTGTGTTGGTATTACTTCAGGTTGCATGTTGAAAACTTGTAAAGTCTAATTGGTCAAACACAAATTAGTTGAGTTCAAAATACTCAATTCTCAAGTAAATAGTTTTGAGTTAAACCAAGGCAATATTTTGCTTGAGAATGCATTAGAAATGTTTGAGAAAATCACACACTTAAAAAAATATTGCCTTGGTGTAACTCAAAAGTGAGGATTGAGTATTTTAAACTCAACTAATTTGTGTTTGACATGCACATTAATCAACATTATTCAATATATTGTAATATATTAATGGATTTTATTATTCCATATATTTTTCATTTTATTTAAACCATTTCATATACAGATCATAAATATATGGAAATATATTTTCTTTGCGTAGCTATGGAATATCATTTCTCAGTGCCTATAAAAATCCTTACTGTTGTCTTAATTTTTATCTTTTTTATATTGTCCTTCTTGGTGTGAACGGCCCTCAATTAGCTTTTTTCGTTTAACAACACTTAGAAAACAAAGAGTACGGTAAGTGAAATAACATTTTCACATTGAGCAAAATGGACATAACAAATCGACAGTAAAAAAAAATATAAAAATTATTTGAGTTTCCCTTTATTACATAAAGATGATAGACAAAGATGTTAGCTGGGGTCAGAAATGAAATTCCGCAGACAATATTTGCCTCTTGGAATTGATTTTCTAGCGATATATTTCTAAACCATAAAACACACACACACACACACCAACCATTTCAAAAACTTAAATTAAAATATATGTCAGAAATATATCTATGTATTAAAATACATGTTAAAAAAAATTTTTTGCCCCCCTATTTTACATTTATAGGGCATTTTGTGTCACTTTTAGTGGTATTTTTGCCCCAAACACTGGTATATTTGTGAGCGTGCACCAAAATGGCAACAGGTTTGCTTTTCTTTGTCCATAACACACACGCTCATCTGTATCACGCGATCATCGCTGAGCCGGTCAGCCACAGGCAGAGACAACACAAAACAGAGCATGCTAAGTGAGTTTACGTCCCTATGTAATTTCCACATGACTCGTCACGTTTCTGTCTCTGACGCACAGATAGTGTAACCGTTGCGGAGGAGCGGCACCGTGTTCGGAACTGTCTCGCATCCCAAACAGAAATCCTTCCAGGCTTGACCTCAAAGATTTCGGCTTAACCTCATTTAAGACATCAACAGATGAGCAAGAGAACATCTGCGCCGTCCTGGACACTTCTAACGCATCAGGACGTCTCATCGCCTCTGAGGTAAAACGCAGAATGTCTTTGCGAGAGGAAGCCGAATACGTGCTCTCTGACAGTCCTTGTGTTCCTTTTTGGGAGTGGGAGGGGTAAGAAAGAGGGGTGTCTATCTGGCAGGGGGTGGGAATGCGGGACAAGGGTGCGGCCAGGCTTAGCATCCTCTACTTACAGTTGCAGGAGCCCGAGTGTTTGACTTCCAGGACGAGGCCCAAAGAGCAGGCGGCCTGCCTCATGGTGCACTCGCTCGGGTAGGTGACGTTGTCGCTAGCGCACACACTGTCGCCCGGTCGACTCTCGGGACAGGTGTCCTCCTCGCACGCCGCGCATAGTCCCCGTCCCGTACGCTTATTCCACAGACACTTCCGTCCCTCGCGGCATTTGATGTCTTCACAGGACCTGGCGTCTGAAGCAGAGTAGACCAACCAAATGAGGAAGTTATTCCACAGAATATGATTTCACTTTGTGTAAAACCACTTCTTTGGGCCACATTGAATGTTAATTTTAGCCTTGTTTCACTCAGTGTGGTTTGAGGAGGTATTAAATAACGCAGAAAAGCAGCAACAGTCACTGCTACCCATGTGAAACATGAATGTGTTATTGCAACAGAAAACAGAGTAATGAGAACCACATGTTTAAGGAGGATTGTGCAAGCGCGAGATTTTTGTCTTATTCTCACCTATGCATTTCCCCTCGTAGGCTACTCCAATGGAGCGTCCCATGATGCACGTGGCCCTTCGGAGATGGCAGGTGTTGGCGTACACGATCCCGTCATTCCCGCACAGGTACTGCTCCGGCGAGGTCACCTCGGGGCAAAGCCGGTTGCAGGTCACGCAGTAGGCATTGTTGGTCTGGTCCAGTACACATGTCGAGCTTCCAGGACAACGCACGTCATAGCATGACTCTGTCGAAAAATAATGACCTGTCAAAATTGGCAGCTTCTGTCGCTAACGAGCCTTTACACACCGATAAAATAATATCTTCTATTTATTCTCTCTCTATATTTTGGTGGGCATAATATTCTTATTAGAAAGACATGAAGTTATGCATGTTTGGTCAATTACTAGCAAGTATGCACATTTTAGTTGTGCATTATGGACTTTTGCCACCATTTAACTTCTGTAATGTGACGTATTTCTGGGAGAAAAAGGATGTTCTGTTAAAAAGTTAAAAATTAAAAAGTGTGTTAATTAAAAGAAAATCAGGTAACACTTTACAATTAACATTAGTAAAAATATTTTCGTTAACATTATTTCTTTTGTCAAACCAACTTAAATCATTTATGTAGTTCAGAGAACATAATATTTTAAGTTTCTGATGATTAAATCAATCCCCTTCATTGTATCAACTCAATTTTTCCATTTCAATGAACTTAAATTTTTTAAGGCAGCCAGGTTACTTCTTTTTTTTAAGTTAAACCAACAATATGTTTTTCCAGTGTATTAGCCTAACTAACATGAACTAACAATGATCAATACATATGTAACTGTTTTTATTAATCTTCGTTAATGTTAGTTTAAATCCATTGTTTGTTTTAAATCCATTAACTAACGTTAACAAATACAACCTTTGGTTTTAATAATGTTTTAGTAAGTGTTGAAATGAATATTAAGTAAGATTAGTAAAAGCTGAAGAAGTTCAGTAAATTAATGTTAACTAATGAACCTTATTGTAAAGTGTTCCGAAAAATCCTATATTATCCAATAGACGCATGTGGTGTCACCGTTAAAAAAGTCGTTTCAGAGGCAGAGCAGGTTATTATTTTTTGGATTAAAGATTACAAAGACATTCTTTTTTTCTTTGGAGAATGTACGCCTATGAATTGTGCGCAACAAAACTAACCAATCAAGTACATTTTGCTTTCTTTTTCTCTTGAGTGACCGTACTTTTGCATTTTCCCTGGTACTGCGCAGTCAGGTCAGGGTGTCTCTTGCACTTGGCCCTAAGGAGTGCACACTCGTTCCGGTACGTTTTCCCATCGGAGCCACACACGGGCCCTTTAAAGGTGACATTGGAGCAGTCTGGAGCGCACACGCAGCGCGGCTTATTCCGCTTGTTCATTTTGCACCTCTTTCCAGGACCACAGTCCACATTATCACAAGTCTCTGTAGAATCAATAAAGAAGGTTATGAATAACTGGCATATCAGTTCTGTATATATAAATATTTGTGGTTTAAAAGTGGTTATGTCATTTCTGACTGACATATACCAACGAAATCAAATTCGAAATGTTTAGCTTCTTCCAGATTACTTCCAGTCATCCAAATGATGAAAACACTCTTATGCGGTAGCTACCTTTGCAAGGTATGCAGTTTGGTGCGCCGCCATTGAAGATCAGCCACCGGAAGAGTGTGTTATTAGGTACATCCTCCTCGGTCCACGCCGTGCCCAGGCGACCACTTCTACAACAGTCTTCCCGGCTCATCCCAGACATGTACAGAACCTGGCATCTCCCGTTCTTGCCCTGCTGAAGCCAGCAGTTGCCAGCTGGAAAAAGTCACTTTATTAACCCCTCATACAGGCTGAATCCCATTCTGCCCATTTATCACTCAATACAATAGAATGTAGCTAATTGGAGACAATTAGTGCTCATAACCACGTCGGGCAATCAGTACAGTCAATGACCGATTCTTCATTTTTTTTTTTTAGGCTACCTTGGGTCACCTCAATATTGAATATCTGGTTGCATCTTTAGTGCCAGGTTGCTGTAAGACTATAAATTACTCATTTTTGCTGGATCCAGGTAAAAGATTAAACAAACAAAAAATGATTGAAAATGATTTGGGTTGAAATTCCAAACGTTCAGAGAGTCCTTCTACCATCTGAATCCACTCAAACTCTTCAGAAACAATATATAGAGGTGGTTGTGCAAGCGTTTTGTGCCTTGCACGGAAACATGCTCAACCGTTTAGAGATTATAAACATAATAAATGGAGAGAAAAAAATCTAAAAATAGGCTATCAATCACTTAAAGATCAGTAAGGTGTCAGCAAAGACATTGTTCCTTTTCTAATGAGTTTCGACAATGAATTATAATAGCTAGGTGTCTTGAAAACAAGTTCACTTATAATGTTTTAGTTTTTACGCATGAGAGGCGCCAGCGCGCAAACGCACCATTTAACCTTCTCAAGTCCAAGTCAATGCATTAAAGGTTTTAACACAGCATAATATTCCTCATTCAGACTTTAAGACAGCTCGCAAAGCATACATGTCACTTTACCTTGTACTTTCTGCTGTTCCATCAAGTGCGCGAACCATATGAGAAGCGCGATCACGCCCTGGCGGAGCCGCGGTAACTGTAGCATCCTCAGAAAAAGTGGAGACAGACGGACTACAGACAGACAGATGTTCTCCCGATGCTTCGCACTCAGTGACTGTCATACACACTGAATCCTTCTCGCTTTTTAAATCTATATGGGGTCTCGAGTTGGATGCCTGTGGTGGGCGGTCTTCACTTCATAGGGGGTGGGGAGAGCATTGTAATAGTTTGCCCACCGACATTTATCAGGTGACAAGTCTAGAAACTTTCTCCTCTCAAGAGCAACATTGTGATTTGGGGGAATGTTTGTAATAGGGTTCAAAGAGTTGGATAAAAGCAGTGATTTGGGGGTCTGTTTGCATTTATTGTGGATAACAGGCTGATTATTACAACAGATTTTTGATACAAATAGTTTTTCTCTCAACATATGCCAAACTTTGTGTTTGAACTGTATCAAACAGAACTTGGTTCTGCAAAATTACTGAATAAATAGTTTATTTTTGACGCGATTAAAAAAAAAAGATTAAAAAAACTTAGATTTTTGTAAATATTCTCAGAAAATTCAAATGCTCAGTGTTAATACATTGGGAAGTGCAATCTGAAATAAAATGTAAGGTAAAACTTTATTTTACAGTGTCCTTGTTGCACAAGTTACAAATCACGCATAATTACACGTAACTAACCCTAAACCACACCCCAATCCTAACCCTATGTAGGCTACACGTGGTTAAACAGTAGCCTACTTTCTTTAACCAAATGTAATATATGTTGGAATAGAGCTGTGGCCAAAGTAACAGGGCTGACAGTTTTATACTTTTTTATTGCCATTACTAGCCCTGTGCTCGAGGTCTTGAAAGGAAAGGGAAATTATGTTTAAATTTATTGATATTCCTGCAAATTTTACTGTAAAAATCATGGCAACTTGGTAGCAGGGTTGACTATTTAAACTCACAACAGCCGATAAACATATAAAGATGATCACAGTTCACAATAGGATGAGACTGTTATTATGATATATTTTTTTTAGTTAAGAAATTGTACAGTATATACAGATATATATAGTTAACAGAGCTGATGTCTAACTTGGAATTTTATGTTATATTTATTAAAAATGTATTCAAATATATAATATAGCCTAATACATAAAAATGTTTCAGAAGTTTTTGCTTATTTGTTAAAAAATGCCTAGAATATCACATTGTAGAAGTTAAAGTCAGTTTTTTTTACATACTCTGTAAAAAATATTGTTGGTTTAACTTAAAAAAGTAAGTAACCTGGTTGCCTTAAAATTTTAAGTTGATTGAACTGGAAAAAGTGAGTTAATACAACGAAGGAGATTGATTTAATCATCAGAAACTCAAAATAATAAGTTATCTAAACTAAATAAATTATTTAAGTTGATTTGACAAAAGAAAAAAATGTTGTGATAACAAATCTTGAAAATATTTTTTACAGTGAATGCAGAACATAAAATGATGTTCTATCTAACATAATGAACTAGTGGATTAAACTTAGAAAAATATTTCACTCTTTACCAGTGAATATAGCTGTTTGTACAGCAAAGCAGACAATATGAATAGACAATATGTCCATCAATGCAACAGCATCTTCATGCCGTGGGATTCATATGAACTATTTGAGTCCTCTTTGATCCAAAGTTTTCCATCCATTTCAGTTTGGACAATAAGCGTTAATCTTTTAAAGTGGTCTATTACTGTGAATTCTGACAGGTATTAATAGACTCAAGGATACGGTCATTCTAATAATAGTTGAGACAGTTGTTTGGTCCTCCCCAGGGTCAAACCTGTAAATATAGCACAACAAATCCTTCAAAAGGAAGCAATCAGGGTGTTGAGTTACACCCCGTCTACACAACTAGTGACGCGACACGACAAACTCCTGTGACGCTGCTGACGTCGTGAACTTGCAGTGTAGACCAGGTGTAGGCTTACAAAGATGAGCTGTTATGTCCATGCAAGTAAGTTCAGATACTACAAATAAAAAGTTATTTACTGGCTTCTGTGGTTCCATGAAGAACTGTTAACATCCACAGAATCTTATAAAAAGGTTCATAACACTAAGAAGAAATTATTCTTTTAAAAACTGTTCACTGAAAGGTTCTTTGAGGAACTGAAAATAGTTCTGTTGCATCGCTATACGAAAACACCTTTTGGAATATTTATTTTAACTTGTCGTTCTTATTCCTCCTTTGCTTGTAGTTACTATTTACAATACTGACAAGTGACATTTTTTCGGCATTGAATTCAGAATAAGGATTGTGGCTCAGGAATGTTAAGCCGATCTAAACGGCTTCTCCAACAAGAACAAATGTAGGGCATTGCTTGATTTTGTCCAGAATTGATTGGATTGTGGTTTGCAGGATCTCATGTGAGTGACAGGTTAGGCTACTGCCCTCTTGCCAGTAAACACGTCATCAGGGGAGAGATGAGCTGCAAGAGGGAGATGAAGTTGTTTTGATTAAAGATTACAATATGGATTTTAAAAAATGATATGCATGAATAAATCATTTATAATAGACTAAATACGGCAATATTCCATCAAAAAAAAAATAAGAATTGTCAATTCTGATTTCATGGTGACTTAGTTGGCCGACGTGTAACATAAAATAGATACCAGTTTAAAGAAATAAATGTTGAAGCGGCTTGCCAGATATGTCTGAGGTAGCCGCTGCCTTGCTGTCCCTCTGTCGGAAAATTAGGAGAAATGCAAGACTCTGCTTGTGTGTCCCACACGTTGCTAATAACTATCACTGTGAAACGGGGACATACGTTGCACAGCTGTGGTCTGTGGTTAGAGATGTCACTGGATTGATCGAATGCCACACAGAATCGTCTTACTGAACAACAACAGCCATCGGCTGTTTAGGCTAATAATGGCGAGACGTGTGTTTGATCCGTTGTTTTTATTTTATTTTTTCTTGTAACCTATATTTAAAGCTTAGAAATGTTATATATGTATGTAGTGTTTTAGACAAGTCTCTAAATATAGTAACCATCAAGAAAGTGCTTTATACATTATATTTAAGGAGATTGAAATATGAGGTTGGTGAATGGCCAAGTTAGACATGTGAATTTGGAGACATCTGCCGGTTAATGATGGAAATGCGGAGCTAATTTCAGGAACGGTTTAAATAGGATAAAGCCAGGATAGGATAAACTGATACAATCTTATAGAATGCATAGTAGAGGAGGAAAAGTGTGAATTTATAAAATTAAATTTTAAGCTTTTATAAGGTTGACTGAATTCTTGAATAAACAAATCATGATGTGTCTGTTTCCTGGCCATGAGTCAGCTGACCTAAAGCAGAACCAATGGGATTCGAGCTCTGAGGAAGACGAGCTTGAGCCTGACAGTAGAAGCACGCGCTGCGAGTGTTTGAACTTTACACGCGTCTCCGACTAATGTACATACATGAATACCGAGGTAAGTCTGCTTTTGAAATACATTATTACATTATATCAGATAATATTGCGTTATCTGATCAATGTCCTGCAAGTAAAAACATTAAAAAACACGAATCAGATTTACATCACGTAATGGCATTCGATCAACTTCAGGTTTTGGCAACAGTTTAGAAATTGTCATGATAGCCCATATATCTAACTTACACGTTAAGCAGGTGTCGGTTCTGTACTTTGCAAAAAGTGCTGAATTAACGGGACTTAAAGCGGAGAACATCACTGTTCCGTCAAACATTACATCTCTACAGCTGTGGCAGGATTTGGAGACCAGACATCCGAGGTGAATTATTATCACAACTATATTAATACTTTTGTAGGATTTTTAAATCGGTTCTATTTACACTGCAAGTGGTCGACGCAATATAATCAAACAGATGCGTTCAGTCTAACAACCATGCTTTGCGCTCCTGTGCAGTAGCTTCACATTGTTAGTGTTACATATGGTAATTATTATTGTTATTTAATATATAGTTTTACTTATAATATTAATTATTTGTTATTATGGGTGTACTATTATTAATAATAATAGTATTAATGTTACTTTCTGGCATTAATGTTAACTAACTTTATCATGTCATAGCCTAAATATGAAGACTCCCGATGCAAAAGCCTCTAGAAGCCACCTATGTCAAAAATGGGACTCACTTTCACTTCAAACTCACTAAATCCCAGCCTCAGAAAATGTCTGTTCTTGGGTAGAAACCTATAAAGCCTGATAAAAATGCGAGTATTAAACAAGAATAATACAAAAACTTAAAACAAAAATGGACTTAAAGGCCTTTGCATCTGAAGTCTTCATATATATATATATATATATATATATATATATATATATGTCAAAAGTTTTAGATCGGTAAGATTTTTTATGTTTTTAAAAGAAGTCTCTTCTGCTCACCAAGGCTGCTTTATTTGATAAAATAAAAATAAAAAACAGTAATATTGTGAAATATTATTACAATTTTAACAGCGGTTTTCTGAGTGAATATATGAAGTGTAATTTATTCCTGTGATCAAAGCTGAATTTACAGCATCATTACCCCAGTCTTCTGTGTCACATGATCCTACAGAAATTATTATAATATGATGCTCAAGAAACATTTATGATTATTATCCATGTTGAAAACAGTTTTTTACATTTTTATTTCAGGATTCTTTGATGAATAGAAAGTTCAAAAGAACAGAATTGATCTTGGAAAGCTTTTGTAACATTAATCACTACCATTCAAAAGTTTAGGGTCAGTAAGAATTTATTTATTCATTTTTTTTGGAAAAAGAAATTAGAAAATACTTTTATTCATCAAGGATGAGATAAATTGATCAAAAGTTACAGTAAAGACATTTATAATGTTAGAAAAGATTATATTTTAAATAAATGCTGTTATTTTGAACTTTCTATTCATCATAGAATTTTGGGGGAAAAATGGTACACGACTGTTTTCAACATTGAAAATAATTAATTGAAAATAATTTATGTTTTTTTAGCATAAAATCAGCATATCAGAATGATTTCTGAAGGATCATGTGACACTGAAAACTGATGTGTAATCAGCAACAGCAATAATGTTGAAAATTCAGCTTTCAAATTACATTTTAAAATATATTCAAATAAAAAACAGTCATTTTAAATTGTCATAATATTTCACAATATTACTGTTTGTCATTTTTTTTCATCAATTAAAGCAGCCTTGGTGAGCAGAAGAGACATAATTTAATATATATATATATATATATATATATATATATATATGAAGAGTTCAGATGCAAAAGCCTCTAAGTGCCATTTAAAATTTTCTTCTAGAATGATCATGTTTAACCAACTCGTATATTTAAGTTCAGTAATTTCACTTAAATGGCAATGAAGATTACCTATTAATTGTCATTTAAGTGAAATTACTGAACTTAAATATACAAGCTTGATAAAAATGGTCATTTTAGAAGAAAATTTCAAATGGCATTTAGAGGCTTTTGCATCTGAACTCTTCATATATACATATATATATATATATATATATATACATATATATATATATATATATATATATATATATATATATAGTTTGTGTTTGTGTGTGTTTAATATAATAATTTTGGGTATTTCCAGTGTAAAATATTTAAATATTTAATGCATATGGACAAGTGTCTTTCTTGTCCTTCTGAAGACTTGTTTAAATGTTATTGTACATGCTATAAATTATATAAATAATGCTTAGAACAACAAATTATCTGTTGCAACCTATTATTTTCTGATTGAGCATGTTACATTTTCTTTATTTTCTATTCATTATGTTCTGAATCTGATGTGATTTTACTGAGAGCATGTTTATCCTGTTTGCCAGACTGTCTGTGTTACGGGATCAGGTGGTCCTGGCAGTTCGGCAGGAGTACGTGCCTCTGGGTGCTCAGCCCTTGACCCTCAGAGAGGGAGACGAGGTGGCCATCATACCACCCCTTAGTGGAGGGTAAACGAATTACCAAGGTGAGCATCAAATCTGACAGCCCACCTGTCTCTCCATATGTATATATATTAACATGTTTTTTATATACACACACACGCATATAAATATTTTTTGTTTAAATGAATGTGTTCTGTTTTTTTAAAGGCATGGCTGCAGATCAGGGTCAAGATCTAATTACACTCACGACGAACAAGCTTTCTTCTGATGGCGTCTCTGAATCTGTGACGTGTCCCTCCTGTGGCGCTATATCTCTGTTTATTGGTCAGTCTTTTGTAGTTGGATCATTGCTTCTGTTTAGAGTTGGCTTTCTTACAGATACATATATATTTTTGTTTATGATTAATTTAAACATTTTAGAAACACAAATTCATTACAAAAAAATGGCTTCAGAGAGCAAGACCGGATCCCTCTAACAAGCATATGCACCGTCCAGAGCAGAAGGGTGAAATGAAGGATTCGAATCTCCTTTTTTCAGGGACTACCAGAGATAATTTTGAGGGAAAGAAAGTAATACGTCTTGAATATGAGGCATACATTCCAATGGCAGAGTCAGAACTGAGGAAGATCTGCAGTGACATCAGGACAAAGTGGCCCAGCATCAGACATATCAGCATACAACACAGACTTGGGTGAGTCTCACAGTTTGTTTAGATAATGAGAGTTCATTGCTTGGTATTTTTACATGTAAATAATATTTTTGTTCTTCCCCTGCTCTGTCCACAGTGTGGTTCCTATAACTGAAGCAAGCGTTATAATTGGGATCTCATCACCGCACAGAAGTGAGTCCCTGGAGGCGGTGAAGTACGCTATTGACACACTCAAAGCCACTGTACCAATCTGGAAAAAGGTATGAATATACCTAGTAGTGCATGACTTCTTTGTTACCCTAGATAGGTACACTTTTTTTTTTTTAACAAATGGTAATTAAAAGTAGAAGATGATTTTGGTAGTTAATAAACTTAAGTTTACAGCAAGTCTTGGACAATATTTTTAATAAATCAATTTTCTTTGCAAACATAGTAATAAGGTTGATAAATGCAGTTGACAATTTGTGTAAATAATGAGTTTTGTCTTCCTGCCATGTTGTAGTTTTAAGTGATGCTACAACATGAAATGTTACTTAAGGAATTTTTAAAAGGGCAAAGATTACAAATTTAATCATTAGAATTATTTCATTTAACATTTTTGATGCAATATAAAGTGTGCATCATGACTTGTGGTATAATTATTAGATACAGATTTATAAAACATCTGTTATATCACCTTTACTTCCTATTTCGTTTCAGTTCCCCTTTAAAGTGATAGTTATAAGACTTGTTAGTTTGTGGAACACTGACTTTGTTTCTTTATAAGAAATGATGGTTACACTTTATTTTTTAAGTGACGGTTACATTGTACATACTCAAATAAGTACTGAGTAATATTAATTAACTTTAGAGCTACAGTAATGGTTACTTGTAATTAAGTACATGAAGAGTTCAGATGCAAAAGCCTCTAAATGCCATTTGAAATTTTCTTCTAAAATGACCATTTTTATCAAGCTTGTATATTTAAGTTCAGTAATTTCACTTAAATGACATTTAATAGGTAATCTTCATTGCCATTTAAGTGAAATTACTGAACTTAAATATACAAGCTTGATAAAAATGATCATTTTAGAAGAAAATTTCAAATGGCACTTAGAGGCTTTTGCATCTGAACTCTTCACATGTAGAATTGTGAAACTTTCACCCTGAAATTTAGTGATACCGAAATAAAGTGTTACCCGAAATTATAGTTATATAATAACAACTTGCAACTTGTAATCATTTCTCTTGTGCAATTGTTTACAACATGTTTGTAATTATTTTGTTCTTTTCAGGAAATATATGAGTCTGGGCAGCCTTGCTGGAAAGAGAACAAGGAGTGTTTGTGGGCGGATGATGGAAAAGATCCTAAGGAAAGTTGAACTGTTAAATGAGCAAATGGGCTACAGTAAGTCTCGTGAAGCATCAAGCACTTTTTATTGAAAAAATACAAAGCTCAAGTTCTCCTGTAACACCTGATAAAACACAAATACAGATTTTCATCAAACGAGTATATTCTGCTCTTTTTTTTTTGTAAAGAATAGAAAGATTTACAAAAGGTACCAGTGCAAAAACATCATGTAAACATAAAGGAAAATCTTTGTTGCTTGTGTTGCCTTTGATTAGACAGGCCTATTTTCCTGTCACACCATCAGTAGAAGTTAAACCCTGAATTAATACAAAATCAAACTTATTTATATCAACTGTCATTTGAAAACATTAAATAGAAGTTAACATTTCAGTAATTCCTAGACATTTCAAAGTATTTGAGTGTTTATTAACAAAAGCATCATACACCGCCCGGCCCATAAAAAAGAGTTGCTGTTGTCAACACAAGATCTTGATCAAAATTTGACGCACTTCTTGATGGAAAAAACACCCGAACATTTATTTCCATTGAGAGATACATCAATTTCTGGTTAAGATCTTGTAATGTCTTGCTTGTTTAATTCCAAACAGTGACTTTTTTTTTTTTTTTTTTTTGGCCGGGTAGTATATAATGTAAAATATAATGTGTTTTCAAAAAAGTTAGTACTAACTTCATTAATTCGCTAGTATTAACAACTAATAGACACTAAGTTTTTCTCATTTAGTATCAGTACATTTCCCTGATGTTGTATGCAGAGTACCACTGCTTATTATTACTTTAGTTATTCGCTCATGATTCTTGCAAAGTACGGACAAAAGTGGCAGCTGTAGAATTTACAGAGAGCGTTTTACAGTGTGTTGCTTTGGCCATAACACATTTACATTTTATTGCATCTATTTTATGTTATTGCTGAAATGGTTTCACTATCACTGATATAATAAAGCACATAACAAAGGCCAAAATAAACTCAAAGCGAAGTTCTTTTTTCGTTTTTGGCTTAGGGGGATAAAATGGCGAACATCCAAACGCCATCCACATTTAGATGAATATGTAAATATGTGCTGCAAGCTTTCCTTTCAACAACAAAAATGACAGCGGTGAGAAAACAAGACTTAAAAGCATCTGATAATAGTGATGTGGATTTTTGCACAAGCTCTGCAATTCAGCACTCCAGTCATGTTATTTATATAGCACTTAATACAATAGATTGCTTTAAAGAAAGCAGCTTTACAGTATGGGTCTATTTGAATCAGAATTACTACTCTCCAGTGTGTTCATGTTTTAACTCGCGTTTGAACTCCAAGGATTGAACAACAGAAGAAATGAACAGGAATGATTTCCATGTCAAAGACGATGAAGCCACAGCTATTATATAAACGCCACAGACCAATGGAAGTTTTTCACCACTCAGAACAAACTTTTCCAGAAAGTTCGCTATAGCAAGCTGTTTCGAACTTACGATTTTGCTTGAAATATATCGGAGCCTTATGTGTTTGGTAATTTTCGTACTCGACTATAAAACAAATGATCAAATGTGTTCAAATAAGAACTGAAAGGTCCATGTTTTCTCATATGCCAGCATATGACACCAATAATCAAAAGTCAAAAAGATCTAGTTATATACTAACTACTGGAAGAAGTGGTAAGACAGCCAGAAGATACACCCGCTAGCAGAGAAAAAGCATATGAGAAAAATGAATGGGATTGGAGTACCAGTTGTCGGTTAATGCATTGTAATCAAACCGACAATTTCCAATTCGTTCAGTTCACACTTTCAAACCCTGTTCTGGACATTTGTGTCAGGGAAGAAACCTGTGACATTTCCAAACGAGTCTCAGCCGATCTCTCAGGGCGCCTCACTGTTTTCCTTCAGTTCCTGATCTTCCCCTTCATTCTCCTCATTCTTCATCAGCTTTTGATACTTCCTCTTGAAGAATCCAAGCTGAACATAAACACATGGGTTTTTAAAGGATGACAATGGCACAAGATGTACGCTTAAAAGACATTGTGAGGGAAAAAAAGCTAAATTAAGCACCTTCCAAAGTAATGCGATGGCAAGAGCCAATAATAACAGACCGCCGATAACACTCCCTGCAATGACGCCCACCGGAACGTCCCCTTTAGCTCCAGGTTGGCTCACTTTGACTTCAACCTGCAATGAACTCATGTCAGTTGTCTCGACGTGTCGAAGACGTTTTAGGCAAAGTGTTCAAATGATCCTGCTGTATTTTGACAATACCTTCAGCTGTTTCTGCTCTATGAACAGTAGGTCCGGTTGAGAAGTCTCTATATCAGCTCTCACAGAGAGCACGACGTACAGGAAATCAGCCTTGAATGGGCAAACAAACACATTATTAAAGTCCCCCTGTCGTGAAAATCAAGCTTTTAATGTTGTTTGTCTATGTGGTGTTTTTATTATGTTTTAAGACGAACCATGTGCAAATTCATAAGGCAACACCATTGCTGAGTATTTTCTCCTTAAAACTGCAGTGAACCAAATACAATCTCAAAAATCACTGGTGTTTCTGACATCACAAACTACCTTGTAACCAATCTGGGGTGCGTTTCCCGTACAACGACGTAGTTCGCTGCTTCACTACCACTGGAAAAATCTAGCTAGTCACGACTGTTTCCCAAAACCCATTGTCGCAAAGTATCGTTCAACCACGTTGGTTTCGCATGTGGTGGAGTAATAACTACTTTTAGTGAAAGATTTTTTATATATAAATTATAGACGTGTCATTTAAAGGACAACTCCGGCGCAAAATGAACCTTTGGTCTAATTACACATTGCTACCTAGTCAACCGTTATCTGAGATTTGTTTTCATGATTGCCGAATGTAAATAGTTTTATCTCTAAAAACAGTTTAGCCTATAACGCTAGTACAATGCTAGTATATAGGGCAGAGATGCCCAAACTAGGGCCATACCTCGTCCAGGGAGAGAGCAGTGTTTCCGCTACATTCATTCCGCTGTGGCGGGCCGCCACACCTAAAATCCTCCCTGCACGGCTGCAGCTTCTGTATTGTGTTATTTTGTTGAGCCCCACTAAAGGCATAAAAAACTTTGTAAAGCACAATATTTATCGCACTATATTTCAAGACTTCTAAAGTCATTCAATAGCATAATGTGAGGTAAAATGAATATTTAAGTCGTAAAGTTAAGTCATCTCTCCTCAGTCATTCTCCATTCAGCATTCAAACTGCACGTCGCGTTCGGTTGCGACAGTAACACGACGACACTCTCTTCAAGATCAATGTTCCTATTATAATAGGCTACTTTATTTGTAGATAAAGCATAAAGGTCTAAAATGACTTTATCTCGTTGGAGTTTATTGCCCTTTCTAAATCATATCCCTTTCTCCCAGGTGTCCGTAAGATTACAGCACTGGAGTCGAGTGCTATAATTGTTCTTCATGCGCACTGCGTAACTGAAATTTAAAAATGTTAAAAGAAAAGGCTAAAAAAAACTGTTGCATAGATAGAATACACTAAGCATTAGTGCTGCACGATTAATCATATCATATAGCAATCGTAATAATAGCGTTTAGTAGGCTATATAACGCAAAATGCTGCGATTTTATGAAATAAACAAATTAGGGATATTAACGCAGTACAGTAGGATATCTCTTCTTTTTTGTCATCCTTTGACTAGTGTTACATGATCCTGCTCTTATTCGTGAAAATGCCGTTTTGCATTTTGTACGACAAGAAGTCAAAAGAGAGCGCGCTGCCTGGATGTCCTGAATGAGACTCGCAGAAAGACGCGCGCCAGAATAATGCGCATATACACAGACCGCGTACCAGAGAATGCAGTTCTCTTTCGAGCTTGAACGAACAATAACACACACAATTATGCCAAAATGTCGTTTTGTCGAGTATGTTAATAACATAAGAAAAGTCTTATATGGACGAAAAGAGTTGTGCATGTGGGAGAATGAGGCGCGTGTGTGAGATCCGCGTCTCGGCAACTGCTGCTCTTTTTACTCACTGCTCTTGACTAAAGAACTTTAGTAGCTTTAATAAAGTCTGTATATAATTTATAATTCATGCAGCGCAGACTGTTTATTCAATTTCTGTATCCTACTTTTTAAGACAGGAAGGGCACAGGTAAATATGGCACTTATGGGTTTATGTGAGGATTGTTTGAAGTTCACTTTATTTAAAAGCTGTTATATTTATTTAAGCCTAATAATTTAAAAAAAAAGCTCGATCGCTTTGCTGCTTGTGGAGCCTTTCATATTATAATACTTAGGGGAGACAAGGGGGCGTGGCCTAAGGGAATATCACTCGTGGGCCACGCCCCCTCCCCCTGGGGATATGGGCCTGCCACCACAGCTTGGAAAAATCCTAGAGGAAACACTGGAGGGGATTTCTTTAAAAAGCAAAACTTTACAAATAAAACTGCATTAGTTAATCAGATTGAAGTTGTTTTATATTTATTTTAAATATTATAAAATAAATAAACCCATAGCAACTTTAATGTAATACCGTTTGATTTATGATGCAAAATTTACTTTTGGCCCACGGCCCACAATCAAGTTTGATTTTTGGCCCTTCGTAGGAAAAAGTTTGGGCACCCCTGATATAGGGCATAGAGTAATGACAAATAAAAATCGCTTGTTCTTACCACTAACAAGGCTCAAAATAGCCCCACACCAAAACGACAGCATAACAAGGATCCCTACATTCAAACCGAAGCATTGAGAACTTTGTTAGTGTCCACACAGTTTAATAAGAATATATTTTATACACACAGTAAATTTCGCGAATACAGGAAGAAGCCATCTTTGAAAAATAGTCTCTACCAGTCGATCTACGAACGGCGATCCAAGTGCGCTGAACTGTGCAGAATCTCATATGATCCGTTGAAGAAACACAAACACAAACCGTTTACTTGTCTTCAATATGTACACGTAGTCTACTGTTCGCGCTTATTCACATCTCACCAGCGCACTTGGATCGGCGTTCGTAGATCGACTGGTAGAGACTATTTTTCCAAGATGGCTTCTTCCTGAATTCGCGAAATTTACTGTGTGTATAAAACATCTGCTTATTAAACTGTATGGACACTGACAAAGTTCTCAATGCTTCGGTTTGAATGTAGGGACTCTTTTTATGCTGTCGTGTTAGTGTGGGGCTATTTTGAGCCTTTTTAGTGGTAATAACAAGCGATTTTTATTTGTCATTACTCTATGCCCTATATACTAGCATTATACTAGCGTTATAGGCTAAACTGTTTTTAGAGATAAAACTATTTACATTCGGCAATCATGAAAACAAATCTCAGATAACGGTTGACTAGGTAACAATGTGTAATTAGACTAAAGGTTCATTTTGCGCCGGAGTTGTCCTTTAAGGACTATTTTAAATTGTTCTCAGTTATTTTGCTTTATTAATATTTGGCTCGTTCTTACATAGTAGAGCACGTTCGCACATGCGTACTCCTCAAAATCGGTACTTAAAGACGTAAATTCTTAAAACTAAAAGACGTAAATTACATTTGTATGTATTCTAAATAAAAGGCATCGGTTGAACTGAATGTCAGCTTGGTTATTTTGCTCAAGATAAGGATTTATTACGTCCACATGTGATGCAATATGGAAACTATGCCTCTAACCACAGGTCGAGAGCTGTCTTTCAAACCACACAACTTTGCGATGCTGTTTGCGAATGTTCGTCGGAACGTTTGTTTCGGGAAACTCGTTGAACTATTCTGATAACGATGGAACTTGCGACCATAGTTGGCTAACAATGCTTTCGGGAAACGCACCCCTGGTCAACGTGTGATCATCAACGAGTGGATCTTTGAGCTGGAGTGAGTGAGTGGAGGCGGGGCTAATTTGTATATTCATAGAACAGCGTATACTAAATAAGGCAAGGGTGTAGAGTTACATTCAAAGAAAAAGCATTTAAATGTGTCATTTTGGTGATCAAAGATGAGTTTCGAAGGATAAAATGATTGACTACAGGGAGACTTTAACCCCAACACCTGCATCTGCGTCACGTGAAAACAAGCTATTAATGAGATGATTTCGCTTACCATTGCAAATGTGCCATTCCAAATGTTTGTAGTAACATTCAGGTAATAATCATTCTTCTCCTCCAGGTCCTTCAGGACGCATCGCATAAACTGGCATGTGGCCGTTTTGCAGTTCTGGTGAACAGATGATCAATACGGTTACGACTTTGCGGACGGAAATTAAGACATCCTGTTTTTTGTAATCCCTAGACAGAATTAGTCATCTTGACTTGCAAATCAACATTGAAACCATTATTACACAAATAATTGTTACTGGGTTTCATTCTTCATTCGTTATTACTTCCTTTGTGTGTCACAATCAATAACAATGTCAACAGGGAATGTTTTTTTCAGGAAAATATTAGATCAAGCACTGACCAGTTCCTCTGTTCCTCTAAAACTCTCCTTAGTGAATCGGGCTGGATAAGGTTTCTGACTGATCTTAAATGGGTCGATCAGATTGCTGTCGGTACAATGGAATTTTTCAGCCTGTTTGCGGGAAATATCGTCGTCAAATCATTTCCACATGCACAGACACTGCTTTCAGGCATGTATGGATGGTTAAATGCATTGGGTATAAAGGAAACTGTTATTGCTCCTCACAGATGAAGTTTTAATGCTGGTTATGTACAGGAGGGGATTTCCTGCTCTAGTGCTGTTTGGCAGCGACACATTGAGGTAAACCAGGCTGACGGGGACAGTTCCTGTTGAAACCTGTAGAAATAAATACACTCACATTAGCAGGCCGAATCATTACCGTGAACTCAGAGGAAACTAACAGATGGTGGTAGTGAACAGCCTGAAGGATTTATCCATTTTACTACAACATGAACTCACCTTTAGATTAAAGTTAAAATCTGGGCCGATGTCCTTGTAAGCCATTACTGTGGCTGCAAAATTGTCCTCTTTTTCCAGTAAATACACATCTAAGTTTGATTCTCTGAAAAAATTGGAATATAATATAGAAACATTTCTAGGAGACTGCAGAATGAACAGTTGAACTATCAGAACCAGGCATTCCTGATAGGTGTTTAATAAAGGAAATGTTGTAATGTCATAAAAGGGGTGTGTTGTCTGACCTGCTGAGGATGATCTCAGAGTTGTATTGGACAGGAATGGATTTATGGAAAATATTATCAGCGGGAGTTTCCTCTGTGCTGTCACTGCAGTGCAAATAAACCAATCAAACATTGATTAACATTAATTCATCTCCTTACACATTATTAAACCTGTAGATCTTCAGCTATGAACCGTCACATTTGAACTTTTCTTAATTTCTATATTTACCTTAACGCCTCAAAGACAACTTTGGCATCTTTTTCAAGCCGATTCAAGTTAAAGTCAAAGTGTACCACAAACGTAACCTAAGGAAAAGTAACAAAATCGTTAAAATCATATCAGTCAGATCTGAAGAAGAATGCTGGCAGATGTCTGTCTCACCGATTGGTCTGTCCTCAGGGCTGGATAACTCAATTGGCAGATGAGTTTGTCTGAATCTTTCATCAGAGTGCACTTCACCTCTGCACCAACAGTCTGAAATATCAGAAAGCAAAAACAGCCGCTTTGAACACAAGAACATGCGTGTGCTGTGCAAGTAAAACACAAATACAGTACACAGTATATTGCACTTAAAGGGATAGTTCACCTAAAATTCTGTAATTAATCACTGACCCTCTTGTCCTTCCACACCCGTAAGACCTTCATTCATCTTCAGAACACAAATGAAGATATTTTTGATGAAATCCGAGAGCAGTCCCACCCACTAGGAGCAAAGCAATTTACACATTCAAGGCCCAGAAAGATAAATACATAATTAAAGTGCAATCCAGTAGGGGGAGCACCGCATTACGACGGATTCGTGTTGTGTTGACTTGAGAGCTGACGTACTTCTGTGAGCGCGCTTTGGATAGTATTATTTTGTAAATTTCGAGGTAAATTATGTTGTTATTGTTTTTTCGCAAACAAAAGTACTTGCATCGCTTTATAAAATTGAGGTTAAACCACTGGAGTCATGTGGACTACTTTAATGATGTATTACCATTTTGGACCTTGAATGTGTAAATTGCGTTTCTCACAAAAGAGTGACCAAAATCTCTCGGATTTTATCAAAAATATCTTCATGTGTGCTTCAAAAGTTCTTCTTATGGGTGTGGCACATAAGATCCCTTTTAATTATGGGTAGAATCTTCTGGTCAGATAAATTTGTGGGTGAAACAAATAGCCTGCCCCAGCACCACCTGTATCCTGCCCAGTTTTATTCAAATTCTTTTCACGATCATATAATGTACTGCTGATGTAAAGTACCAGTGGTGTAAAAGAAGCGTAGAACAGGTTACTGGAGTGGCTGACTGTTAACCGTGCATTGTATGCATTTTCCTTCTTGTTCATCACCGTCACAGTGAAGGAGAGTCTTCTCTTGTTCTGGCTGACCACCAGTGGAGTTTTGCTAGAAAAAAAAAATACTTCAATGCTAACAAAGAATCTTTATTTTTAAGCGTGTAAGAGATTTATATGGATGTGCAACATGACATCATGACTTTTGCGTAAACATACATGCCACTTTCGAGTCAAGTGGCGTGTTACCTCTACGCATTTTGAGCTATCCGCATGTCCGAGTTAATTAATTAATGTCCGAGAGATTCCGCGTGTCTGTACACGCCGTCAAATCTCCACGCGAAACGAAGCAAAATTTAGATCTACATCCGGGGAGCGATCTTTTTTTTCCTAGTATGGTCGGGGAAGACTCATAAATGCCATTAACCCCAGTGACGGGTAGGTTTAGGGAGGGGGTTGTGGTAGGTCATATATTTATATATACAGTAATAACGTTAAGTCAATGGCGTTCATAAACACGCTGAAAGGCGATTATGCGTGTTGATAGCACGCCAAAAATGGAAATACGAATTGGCGTGTCATACACGCGCTACTTCATGAGATCAGTCTGGGATGTGTTATCGGAACATTTCACAAAAGAAATTGGGTGCTAGTTAATTAGATTATTTCAAATGTCCTTAAGAGATCATTTATTTTTAAGAAATAAGCGTGAGATTAACTTTTCTGTCTTGTTTAAGTCATATGGTTGAAGGAATCTTACCCATGTTTCTCTTCACTCTCCACACTCAGTACCAAGTCACTGAAGCAAACTTCATCTTGGCCACAGTCCTTTGAGAATGGGATCTGGACCAAACCAAACCCCAGAGATAAACACAAGGATTTAGGAAGAGTTTCCTGAACAAAGATGATGCATTCTTCTATTCTTAATAGCCCAAGTCAGAGGATTTAAAACGGGTCCAGGGAGATCCATGGAAAATTTGATTGATTGTACTATTGTAGCCAAGGTATGGCTACTGCCATACCCTTCCATCACCAATTGTCGCCCATGATCGAAAGGTTAGAAATCCCCTGACACGATTTATTTGTTTATTAATTACCCTTTTTCCCAACACATCCCCATCACAGTAAACCACAGGCACTTCAATTGTGTCGCAACGCAACACTCACAAAAAACTCCCACGCATTGGGACTGAAGACATCTAGAACAGGGTTTGCGTCTGGATAGCCGAGAACAACGTCCACACGCAAAGCAATTGAGTTGACGAGGTCAGGGGTCTCCTGCACATACACATCATGCTCTTCGCACATGTCCTGCACAGAGATGCGGATGTCTTTCTGGAGGACCCGATCCAAGTTGCTGAAATAACCTCTAGGGCTGACCCGAGAAGACTGCAGGTCAGCATCCAGGGTCAGGTTGTACTTGATATCTGTTTATAAAAGGATGTTTATATGCATTTACTTCCTCTGACCAAATGTGTCTATCTCCTAAAGCAGAACCAGACCAGAATCAGTATCCTTACCCACTGGGCCCAGTGGATTCGTTGGTTTAAATGTTGCGCTGAAACACACTTTAGCCTTGAAGCAGGACACCTGCCTCCCACTGTAGCGGCACGGTTTACTCAGGATACTGATCTTATCAGGGGTGAAGGAAACCTTGGCTGTGACCACTGCAACTGCGCTACCCCTACAACCACAATGAAAGAGTTCAAGAATGTATCAATTAAAACTCAACCATTCAATTGATTTATGGGTTTTGGAACAAACAGGAGAGTCCCACAGAAAGTTGATGCTTAGAGAATTGCTGAGGTGAAAATGGGATTCCAGAGGACAGCTGGAGCGATCATTTCCCTGGCCACAAACACATCCAGATATCCCACCATGACTTAGGCCGTCGATGCAGCTGTTACACACTTCACTCAGTTTTTGAAGGTGGGCCGTTAATGAAGTATTACAAATTAGCATGGTCTCCTGTTACATGGAACGATCTAATCGAGCTGTTTTACACCCCCGCAAAGTTGTAAAAAAACAATTAGTTCAAATTCTCACCAGAGTTGGACGACTTTCCCAAAAGCCCCCACTGTGACATCTGGGATCGAGTCTCCATTCATATCTCCGCTGGCGTCTAGAGAACGGCCAAAGTACTTCAACGCTGGGTCCAGTTTCGTTCCAACGATTTTCTAAATTGGTGAGAAGATTCTGAATTTTGGCACTTGCAATTACATTTTATGTGCTGAGAACTGAATGAAGTGTTTCATTCAACCTGTGAGCTCTGCTTTCTGATGGTATTTCTGTCGCCATAGTAGATGTAAATGGCACCATGGCCATTGCCTTCCAACGGGGCACCAACCACTACGTCACTGAAGCCGTCCAGGTTCAGATCTGGGACGACGGTGATGGCCGTCCCAAACCGCGCATTCTTTTCAGAACCCTCCAAAAAACCTTGGTTACTTAAGATACCCTATTAAACAAAAACATCAAACAAATCTTACCAACACCAAACATTTTGAATTTGGTGGTATTTAATAAGGTGCATTCATATCATGCTGGAATTATCATAATTCACCCTTCACAGGGAGTTTGATTGACAGGCAATCTGACCAATCATAATCCGCCATCTGCCAAATCCATAATTTTGTCCGACAAAGCAGTTAGGAGATTCACACTACGTGATTTTAAGCCCGATTTAAGCCCGATTTGCAAATCGTTGAGTCGCCGACAAGTCAGGGTGTTATCGCGGGCGATTAGCGGACGATTAACGCTCGTCAATCCGTTAGTGTGAAAGAGCCAACAACGCATCAAAGACAGCTCGCAGACACTAGTTTCTGTCTGACGTCCATATTCGCGTGTTGTGTTCTTCTCTGCAGTTTCGCGTCATTTCTGGTTCGTTTTATTGCGTGGTTTTTCGTTACAAAACATGGTTTCTAGACCAGATAGAATCGTGTTGTTGTCAACTCGTTATTTGTTTGATTATTTTCAGGATTTAGACCGTACTACTGAAACAGCTCTCATTGAGTCACAAATGATATGCTCTTATCATCCGATCGTGGTTGTATCTCTATGTAGTGCGTTGTTAACTCGTGTAGTGAGTTACCTCCTGTTGTGGATCAATCACGTTGTGTTGTGTGGTGTGAACAGCTAAACAACTTGAACACTCATGATTTCACTGAGAGCAAGTCATGTAGTGTGAACTGCACAGTTCAGCCCGACATTTTAAAATCATGTAGTGTGAACTAGGCATTAGTAGATCAGCAATCTACAGCGATCTGTCACAGCACATTAAAGAGCCAAAAAACGATATTTATATATTATATATTGTTTACATTTCTTTGTAATTAATTTGAAAGTTCAGACTTTGTTACAGTACCTTGGTCTGTCCAGTCTGTCGGAGTGTTGTCAGTGTCCCCTTTGCTTTGCAATGTATTTTTCACTGTGTGAGAAGCGCAGTGGCTCTCTGGCGTGAGAGCGCAGTGGCTTGTCAGACATAGCATTAGTAAGGGGGCAGGGCCTTTGCCAATGGTCAATTATGGCCGACCAACCCGATTTCATGACCAAGTCGTATGAATTCGACGAATGATTAAAAAGGGGCTAATTTGTACGAATTCATATGACCTCACTCGTACGAATAAGTACGATTTTGCTAAATCGTACATATTTTACGAATTGGCCAATTCGTAAGAATTCGTACAAATGTCCTACCCCTTACCCCGCCCCTAAACCTACCCATCACGTGGGTTTAAACAAATCGTACGAGTGAGGTTGTACGAATTAGACACTTTTTAATCATTCGTCGAATTCGTATGAATTGGTCGTGAGATAGGGTAGGGCCGACATGTAAAAATGTCCTCATAAAACTCTTACAACTTGTAAACTGTATTTTTTGAGAGCTCAGACTCATGCCAGGTGACCGCTGTACCACCTGACCACTGCAGATTCATCTTGCCGTTGCTGGTGTTGCCACAGAAACACGAAGAGCTCTGACGCTGCGTCCGAAATCCATACTTAGTAAGTACTACATTTGGTTTGAAACTTACTTCGCGACCACTAAAAAAGTATGTTCTTTATAGTATGAACGTCCTACATGTATATAGTATGAAATTCCGACGTACTACATCCACCATGTTGTCACTGTCATGTGACCTGTACCGTCAGTTGCTTTGCTTCAACGCCATTCACAAATCCTTTCCCGTGGCTTTATGGGATAGTAAAGTGTCCATCGAATGTGCACTTCAGAAACTCGGCAGAGGAAGTAGGTCATCCTGGAACTTTTTTCCTACTGTTTTTTGAATACTGTGTATTAGGGACACACTACTCTGTTGCCATACTGTTTTTCTTCTACCATATAGTCGGGAAGTATTCGATTTTGGATGCAGCGAGAGTCGAACGTCACATTTACAACATGGTGTGAATGAAGCATTAAGTGTATAAATCTCTTTTACAACCTTCACTTTATTAGCAGGTTATAGTATACTGGAGCTCACTACATAAAAAAAGAAGGAAATAAGCACAATGTACAAAATCACCTTGGTAATGGTGAACAGGTAGACTCGTCCTGTCTCGAACTTCTCCTCGCTCATGTACATCGGAGCTCCAACCAGCAGCAGATCAGTCACTCCGTCAGTGTTCACATCAACGGGACAGAGAACGCTGCCAAAATAAGACCCGATCTGCAAACCACACACACCACATTTACACAACACAGGACTTTACTGTCTGATGAAACTCAAGGTGATTAAGGGTCAAATGTACCTGATCTCCTCTTTGTGAATCTATGACCACAGGTTGTCTCTGGCTGTCAATGATGTAAACTATAACCTGTCCTCTATGAACGGCACGAGGAGCCCCGGCCACATAAAACTCAGACGAGCCGTCAGTCACAGAGCTCACAGAGTAGCCTGGATATGTTACAGGGGGAATATTTATACACAAAAATAAGGGAATTAATGTTAATATGCTACCTTTTGCGAAAAGAAAAAAAAAACATTCCAGTGTTAATGTAAAAAATTATGATATTTCAGTTTATTAGATGCAACAAACTTATCTATACTGCTACAGTACTTACCAAGTAATGAACTGTGGTTTCGATCTTCCAAAATTTTCTCAAACGCAGCTTTGGGCAAAATGTCTGATTTCTGAGCAGTTTGGTGAACAATGGTCCCGATCCAATTATATGCTCCAGCTGCTCCCAGTAGGATCACATCCTACAACCAAGACTCAAAGTAAACCACCGGGAGAAAAACACATCTAGAAACACTGATGGAAATACACAAACATATAAAGCCAGCACCTTATTTCTGGTCTGGTATGCACTGAACCCAACTTGAGACATTTCCAGTTTGAAATTATTCCCACTACCTTTTCCAACACCTAAAGTCGTCAATGAACAAAAACAAAGGAAATATTTATTGACAATATATGTTTGTAAAGGAACGCATATATGTTACATTACTCTTAAAAGGCTTTAATATGTAACACACAGTAAAATCAACATTATCATGGACCTTCAATGTTGAAGATTCGATCTCCAAGAGTCCCGACAATCTCTATAAGCGTCGCCTCCTCAGACACATTGAAAAAGTATTTCTCGGTTGGATTACTGGCTATTGACTTAATCTCAGCGATGAGTTTGCTTGTGTCAATGTCATTCCTTATATAATATCCAAGCACCTAAAAAAGTGCAAAAATTCATAAATACTGCATATTAAGACCCATATATGAATTCATACCTTCACCTAGGACTGTATATCTTATTGTTTTAACTAACCGCAATGCCAAAGCGAGTAATATCTTGGCTCTCGCATGCCGGAATAACAGTTTTCCTCAGACTTGCATCATGTGACTCTCCATCAGTTACCACCACCATCACTTTAGTTGCCCCTGGACGACCTCCGTATTTGGCCAGGAATGCCTCCTTTCTGTGAGATCCAATCACCCGCAGAAATCCACACGAACCCACCAAGGGAAAAGAAAGCATTTAGTGTGAAATCTCTGTAAAGCTAGGCACTTTTTTTGTTACAGGAGCAATTTATTTAACTTTAGAGAAAGTAAAGAAAGTAAACTTTTTTTTTTTATCATGTATAGCTACATTATTTTTTGCTGCTTTTCAAAATGCTTTTTTGTAAAATTATTCTTTTTTTTTTGCTTGAGATATTTTATATACAAGTGATTTGTGAAGGAAACAAAGACAAGTTACTATCACTTGTGAGCAGAATATGTACACTGTAAAAAAAGTTATAATCAATAAGTTCTCACAGCTTGTGTTTTTACATTGCTTTAACATCAAAATAAGTTAGGCAATAAGTTACGTATATAAGATGTAATTTAAGTTGAAATGACTTAAATATCCAAGTTGATTGTACTGAACAATTTAAGGAATAAACTTGTTTTTTTTTTTTTTTTACAGTGGTCTCATTTGTAATTGTCAAATTATTGTGCAAAAAGTGTAACACTACTTCTATTCCTGCTGCTACTAATAATAATTTAGATTTAGTTGGACAAAACATCAACCAAACGGTATGGAGGAAATGTTCATCTTTGAGAAATAAATGAAAAATGAGATATAAGATGAAAACAATCTCCACTGTTACTTTGTTAGAAGACTACCGTACATGTAAAAGTGTATGTTTACAAGATTTTATATAAATGACTGCATATTCAGTTGAATGAGGCTATGTCCTTTACTGTATTTTAGTAACAGTAGTTCAGGTGCAGTTTTTGTTCTGAAAGAATCATGCATACCTGGCAAAATCAATGGCTCTGAAAGTGTTCGTCTCTAATCCTTGTTTCTGCTGAATTTTTGAAGCTGCTTTAATCATGGACTCTTTTGTCTGATAGGAATTCAGGTAGAACTCGAACGAGGTGTCAACGGCGTACTGCATCACACTGACCTGTCACAAACGAAATCAGAAATATATGTAAACAGTCGATACAGACAAGAACACCAGGTTAAACAAATTGCACACAAGTGGTCAGACTGGCCTGAGTGCTTTGAGGCCCAATGTCTAAGTTTTCCAAAAGTTTCTTGAGAAAAGCGACGATTGGTTCCCATGGGTATATACTGTTGGATCCATCCAAAACAATGGCAATGTCCATAAAACTGCCACAAGCTGTTTGAAAGAGAAAGGAAACATAAATGTTAAAATTCTGCTGGGTTTCAAAATGGAGATTAACCTGAACAGTAAACTTTAAGAGACAGGACATGGAAGTGTGTTTGTACTTTGAATGGCAGGGGAAAAGACCGACTGGAGTGTAAACTGTGGGCTCACATCAGCACAGATTCCTGGGTAGAAATACAGACTTCCACAAAGCTGAGCCCACAGAGGACCACACGTCTGAAACAAACACATATATAACTTAATATAACTGAGCATATACATCCCACATAAGCTAACTGAAAACACAAGTTGAAGAAGCTATTTTTCAAAGAAGCAGTTTTTATAGAGCCACAAGATTAATTGTTAAAAGATTGCAATCTCGATTCAAACACCCACACTAGAAACATTGTATCAGTTATACTGTCACACCAGCAGGTGTATCAGTTATATTGTCACACCAGCAGGTGGCGACAAGTGACATTTGTAATTAAATAATTCAATCATTGAGATTAGTTCAAAAACGCTAATTCATACAGTAATGAAACAAGTCTTTATGAGAGAGTCATCAACCCGGTATAACGACAAGACGTGAAATAATCACGTTGGTCCACTTTGGAAAACGTGTAGATGTCACGGTTTAACCCCCTCAAACGTGAAACTTACACGTACCAGTGGAGAGATACCCGGATGTTGACCTACACGCAATCGCCTCTGCCATAAGACCGATTGGTTTTCATTAAACCGAGACAAATGGAATTTTGTTTTATTGACAATCACTGAGAAATGTTCTATTATTTAAATTGCAAAAAACATTTATTATTTTCAAGGTGAAAAGCAGGGGCGTTTCTAGGTTTCAAAAACATCAGGGACTGAACCCCAAACATCAGGGGCTGGGGTGGGGAATAAGATAGCATGATTCGATAGAGAGAAAAATGCATATTGCAGGCCTATATGCAGCGGCAGACTGGCATCCCTGGTACCAGCCCACATTACCACACAGTCACACACATTCAAAGGTGAGGAAGTTAGGGGGTTCGGGGGCATACTCTCCCGAGAAAATTTGGATTTCTCAGACCTACATGTGTGCATTTTAGGGTGTTTAAAGGTCATAAAAATGGTATAACAATAGCTTTAAAAGTATGTCAGTGGGCACTGGCAGTAGCATAAAAGATGACAGATTCTTAAATATGAGAATGAGGTCAGTCAGGTCTAAGTCTCATGGCCCTCTATCAGAATCCAGAGTTTTGAACAGATTGGAGAAACTTAATTTTTCGCCCGAAAAAAAACAAAAACGAAAGGGGTACCACTGTCATTTTTTTTTTTTCGGGTCGAATTTTTGAGTTTCGATATCTCAGCTCTGGAAGGGTCTAGAGCCTCCATTTTTGCACTCAGGTCTAAGTCTCATGGCCCTCTATCAGAATCCAGAGTTTTGAGAAGATTGGAGAAACTTAATTTTTCGCCCGAAAAAAAAAAAAAAAAACGAAAGGGGACCACTGTCGTTTTTTTTTCGGGTCGAATTTTTGAGTTTCGAAATCTCAGCTCTGGAAGGGTCTAGAGCCTTCATTTTTTTTTGCACTCAGGTCAAAGTCTCATGGCCCTCTATCAGAATCCAGAGTTTTGAGAAGATTGGAGAAACTTAATTTTTCGCCCAAAAAAAAAAAAAAAACGTAAGGGGTACCACTGTCGTTTTTTTTTCGGGTTGAATTTTTGAGTTTCGATATCTCAGTTCTGGAAGGGTCTAGAGCCTCCATTTTTGCACCCAGGTCTAAGTCTCATAGCCCTTTATTATAATCCAGAGTTTTGAGAAGATTGGAGAAACTTAATTTTTCGCCCAAAAAAAAAAAAGCCACTGTCGTTTTTTTTTTGGGCCGAATTTTTGAGTTTCGATATCTCAGCTCTGGAAGGGGCTAGAGCCTCCATTTTTGCACTCAGGTCTAAGTCTCATAGCCCTTTATCATAATCCAGAGTTTTGAAAAGATTGGAGAAACTTAATTTTTCGCCCAAAAAAAAAAAACGTTAGGGGTACCACTGTCGTTTTTTTTTCGGGTTGAATTTTTGAGTTTCGATATCTCAGCTCTGGAAGGGTCTAGAGCCTCCATTTTTGCACTCAGGTCTAAGTCTCATAGCCCTTTATCATAATCCAGAGTTTTGAGAAGATTGGAGAAACTTAATTTTTCGCCCAAAAAAAAAAAAAGCCACTGTCGTTTTTTTTTTGGGCCGAATTTTTGAGTTTCGATATCTCAGCTCTGGAAGGGGCTAGAGCCTCCATTTTTGCACTCAGGTCTAAGTCTCATAGCCCTTTATCATAATCCAGAGTTTTGAGAAGATTGGAGAAACTTAATTTTTCGCCCAAAAAAAAAATAAGGGGTACCACTGTCGTTTTTTTTTTCGGGTTGAATTTTTGAGTTTCGATATCTCAGCTCTGGAAGGGTCTAGAGCCTCCATTTTTGCACTCAGGTCTAAGTCTCATGGCCCTTTATCATAATCCAGAGTTTTGAGAAGATTGGAGAAACTTAATTTTTCGCCCAAAAAAAAAACGTAAGGGGTACCACTGTCGTTTTTTTTTTTGGGGCGAATTTTTGAGTTTCGATATCTCAGCTCTGGAAGGGGCTAGAGCCTCCATTTTTGCACTCAGGTCTAAGTCTCATGGCCCTTTATCATAATCCAGAGTTTTGAGAAGATTGGAGAAACTTAATTTTTCGCCCAAAAAAAAAAACGTAAGGGGTACCACTGTCGTTTTTTTTTCGGGTCGAATTTTTGAGTTTCGATATCTCAGCTCTGGAAGGGTCTAGAGCCTCCATTTTTGCACTCAGGTCTAAGTCTCATGGCCCTTTATCATAATCCAGAGTTTTGAGAAGATTGGAGAAACTTAATTTTTCGCCCAAAAAAAAAAACGTAAGGGGTACCACTGTCGGGGTTGAATTTTTGAGTTTCGATATCTCAGCTCTGGAAGGGTCTAGAGCCTCCATTTTTGCACTCAGGTCTAAGTCTCATAGCCCTTTATTATAATCCAGAGTTTTGAGAAGATTGGAGAAACTTAATTTTTCGCCCAAAAAAAAAAAACGTAAGGGGGTTGAATTTTTGAGTTTCGATATCTCAGCTCTGGAAGGGTCTAGAGCCTCCATTTTTGCACTCAGGTCTAAGTCTCATGGCCCTTTATCATAATCCAGAGTTTTGAGAAGATTGGAGAAACTTAATTTTTCGCCCAAAAAAAAAAAACGTAAGGGGTACCACTGTCGTTTTTTTTTTTCGGGTTGAATTTTTGAGTTTCGATATCTCAGCTCTGGAAGGGTCTAGAGCCTCCATTTTTGCACTCAGGTCTAAGTCTCATGGCCCTTTATCATAATCCAGAGTTTTGAGAAGATTGGAGAAACTTAATTTTTCGCCCAAAAAAAAAAACGTAAGGGGTACCACTGTCGTTTTTTTTTTCGGGTTGAATTTTTGAGTTTCGATATCTCAGCTCTGGAAGGGTCTAGAGCCTCCATTTTTGCACTCAGGTCTAAGTCTCATGGCCCTTTATCATAATCCAGAGTTTTGAGAAGATTGGAGAAACTTAATTTTTCGCCCAAAAAAAAAACGTAAGGGGTACCACTGTCGTTTTTTTTTTCGGGTTGAATTTTTGAGTTTCGATATCTCAGCTCTGGAAGGGGCTAGAGCCTCCATTTTTGCACTCAGGTCTAAGTCTCATGGCCCTTTATCATAATCCAGAGTTTTGAGAAGATTGGAGAAACTTAATTTTTCGCCCAAAAAAAAAACGTAAGGGGTACCACTGTCGTTTTTTTTTCGGGTCGAATTTTTGAGTTTCGATATCTCAGCTCTGGAAGGGGCTAGAGCCTCCATTTTTGCACTCAGGTCTAAGTCTCATGGCCCTTTATCATAATCCAGAGTTTTGAGAAGATTGGAGAAACTTAATTTTTCGCCCAAAAAAAAAAAACGTAAGGGGTACCACTGTCGTTTTTTTTTCGGGTCGAATTTTTGAGTTTCGATATCTCAGCTCTGGAAGGGTCTAGAGCCTCCATTTTTGCACTCAGGTCTAAGTCTCATGGCCCTTTATCATAATCCAGAGTTTTGAGAAGATTGGAGAAACTTAATTTTTCGCCCAAAAAAAAAAAACGTAAGGGGTACCACTGTCGTTTTTTTTTTCGGGTCGAATTTTTGAGTTTCGATATCTCAGCTCTGGAAGGGTCTAGAGCCTCCATTTTTGCACTCAGGTCTAAGTCTCATGGCCCTTTATCATAATCCAGAGTTTTGAGAAGATTGGAGAAACTTAATTTTTCGCCCAAAAAAAAAAAACGTAAGGGGTACCACTGTCGTTTTTTTTTCGGGTTGAATTTTTGAGTTTCGATATCTCAGCTCTGGAAGGGGCTAGAGCCTCCATTTTTGCACTCAGGTCTAAGTCTCATGGCCCTTATCATAATCCAGAGTTTTGAGAAGATTGGAGAAACTTAATTTTTCGCCCAAAAAAAAAAACGTAAGGGGTACCACTGTCGTTTTTTTTTTGGGGCGAATTTTTGAGTTTCGATATCTCAGCTCTGGAAGGGGCTAGAGCCTCCATTTTTGCACTCAGGTCTAAGTCTCATGGCCCTTTATCATAATCCAGAGTTTTGAGAAGATTGGAGAAACTTAATTTTTCGCCCAAAAAAAAAAACGTAAGGGGTACCACTGTCGTTTTTTTTTTCGGGCCGAATTTTTGAGTTTCGATATCTCAGCTCTGGAAGGGGCTAGAGCCTCCATTTTTGCACTCAGGTCTAAGTCTCATGGCCCTTTATCATAATCCAGAGTTTTGAGAAGATTGGAGAAACTTAATTTTTCGCCCAAAAAAAAAAACGTAAGGGGTACCACTGTCGTTTTTTTTTTCGGGTCGAATTTTTGAGTTTCGATATCTCAGCTCTGGAAGGGGCTAGAGCCTCCATTTTTGCACTCAGGTCTAAGTCTCATGGCCCTTTATCATAATCCAGAGTTTTGAGAAGATTGGAGAAACTTAATTTTTCGCCCAAAAAAAAAACGTAAGGGGTACCACTGTCGTTTTTTTTTTCGGGTTGAATTTTTGAGTTTCGATATCTCAGCTCTGGAAGGGTCTAGAGCCTCCATTTTTGCACTCAGGTCTAAGTCTCATGGCCCTTTATCATAATCCAGAGTTTTGAGAAGATTGGAGAAACTTAATTTTTCGCCCAAAAAAAAAAACGTAAGGGGTACCACTGTCGTTTTTTTTTTGGGGCGAATTTTTGAGTTTCGAT